GGCTCCCGAAAGTCATCTACTTACATGCACTTCGGCCCAAAACTGGGGTCGGGACGAAGGGTTCTGGGAGTTTGTCGGTTCTTTAATATTCAATAATAACTTGCACTGTTACTTCGCACAGACGGGGCCAAATTCCTTCTCTTCCTTCCTCCTTCTCGGTATTCAATCTCAACCCACTTCCCAGGGCATGCATAGCTGTTTTTGTGACAAATCTAATTTTTAAAATGTGTAGTAGAAGGAGCGGACTTCGATTCCAGTCATTAATTTTAATTCTCCGAATCTTTTCCATTTTCCTGGAACCATCTCTGTCCAGCGAAGATACAAACCAGACCACCATTGACAGAATTTGTTTTCATAACTCCAGCCTTAACTGTATAGTACATCCGACCCGTTATGAGAAATTCTTATTTTAACCTTCCAAGCAATAGATAAAAAATATTTCCCAAATCTGTTTTCGTCAATGAAAATACATTTATTTACTTAAATTCTCAACAAAGAGACTCTTTTTCCATCCTTGGGCCGGTCGGCGTCTTCAGCGAAAAATCAAACCAGATCACCTTCTTCAGTCCTAAGAAAAAGGGTTCGTTCCTTGTTTTCGTCCACAAAAAATAGAATTCTCATCTGCTTTTCTTTTCGTCAATAATATGTGTTTTTCTAATTTTTCCAGGAAGAAATAAACTAATTTTCCAAATATGCTTTCGACAACATGCCAGATAGATAAGTAAAATAAACTTTAAGAGAGAAGAAATCCAGACGTTCTATTCTCACCGATGAAAATCTCTCTCTCTTTCTCTCTCCCCCCTCTCTCTCTCTCTGCCTATTTTGGGTTAACCCTTTTATTTTTCTGTTTAGAATTAATGTTTAACCACTTCACCGCCTCAGAGTCACATTAGGAAGAACGTTTGCGTCAGGACATTTTTATCTTTCTTGTTAACCTATTGTTTGTTTTCAATAATCAGTTTTTATAAAATGTAGAATGAAACTTACAGATTTATTCAAATTTTAGAATCTCTTTTGAAGGCAATGAAGAGTTCGAATGTGAATGACCATTTCAAGCGATTTATGGAAAAAATGAACGTTGAACTAGAATAATTGCCTCGCGAGATCAACAGATTTTCCTCAATTCTGCAACTAAAATCGGAGGTTAGGAGCAGATAAGGAAAGCTAAAGAATACCAATGATTGTTGGGATTACATTTTTCAGAATCACATTTGACACATGCCTGAACTTGTGCACTGCGACATTTGCTTACTACACTAGTGACTTACAAGCACCGAAGGAAGTTTCAACAAACTAAAAGCAATACAAATTATTTGCGATCTACAATGAGAGATAACAGGTTATCTGGTTTAGCAATGATGTCTACTGAAAATGAAAAAGCACGATCCCTCGACTTAGCACTTGCTAAGCCTAAAAAGCTGTAAAATTCTTTTCTATTTTTTGGCCATAATGTCGAATGCCCTATTAATCTGTAGATAAGGAAACTCTAGGCTATACTTGATAAGTTCATCGCTTATGCAATCTTCTTTTTTTATGAAAGTTGTCAACGCATTGATATTGAAGGTAGCCATGACAAGTTTAGTTATTTCGCTTGTCGTCATATAAAAAAAGAAGAATTACGTTTTGTGCGTAAAAATGTTGAAGTGTCACTTGTAGTTTCTGAAATGTAGTTCTCGTGGGTATTTCTGAAGAAAAACACGTGAGTTGGTCCTTGATTATTTTTTATGAAGAAATTGAAACGGGTATACTGAAGTTTAAAATTAAATATCTAAAATTAATAAATTTTATTAAAAACTCCCTTCAAAATTTCTGTTTCACTATGTGATTTAAGGTTGCTTGTTGATGTCTTGTAGGTGTATACTACAGACCGTTTATTCTTTTTTTATAAAAACTTTAGGGAAACAACGTTCTTTCTGTTTCTTGGGTATGTCCGTTTTCTTTTTCTGGTCTAGAAGTAAATTAGTGTTAGTAATGATAAGGTTGTAATGGTTGAGCGCTGAGTTGGAACGACCAAAGTAAGGGTTGTACTTACTTCATCGGTGAAGGTTCTGAAAAACACGACCCAAACTCTATGCGTTGGAAAATGGGAAGAGTGCGTGGTTCTGTCCTTTTTGGAAGTGGGGTCATAAAATTGCGCAAATAACCAAAAACTCATTTCCGCTTTCTAGCATCATGGGAAAAAGTATTTTTTCTTTGTTTCACTTTATTATTATTTTATTTATTGATTTTATTTAATTTTCCCACAAAGCTTTAGAAACATGATATTTACAGGTGAAAGGTTTATTAAATTGGCTGAAACTTTGAAAAGTAAAAATTGTCGAAAATATAAACTTATTTTCTGGAGGTGATGAAAAAGAAAAATACAGAGCAATGTTTGTCTTTTTATTTTGCTCCATTTTTAAAGTTTGTTTTTATTTTACCCATGTTAAAATTTATTCATGACATTTCTGATAGAATATTTTAGTGATAATTATCGTATGTAATTAGGTTTCAATAAAATTTTATGTAAATTCTAACTCATAGGCCTTACATGGTACATTCAGTTTAGTGGGGGGATCCCCTAGTAGCGACAATAGTGTAGTTAAAAAATGGAGGCAAAATTGTTAACACTGTTTATTACCGATCTTTATAAATGTTATAAATAATATCAACAGCCATTACGAGGTTGTTATGACAACACGTAAATCAGAACAAAGAAACCAAAATATCGAGGCTTGGAAGGTGAAAAGAGATGTCTTTTTGCGCGACATTCAGATGTTAGAGCAGGGCTTCCCAACCTGGGTGATATTGCCCACCGGTGGGCGATTTCAACTGTTGGGTGGGCGATGAACAACTGAACAGAAAATGGTGGGCGACTGGAAATTTCGGTGGGCGATATAGTTTTTTGAGTATTAAAAAGGTATTTCAAACTACCCGAAAAATGTTTAAAAGAGATATGCAATAATCCCGTATAAAAAAAAAAAACAGGAGGTTAAATGGGAATAACTGGGTCACATTCCTAGATAAGATATAATAAATATATGTTATTTTCTATAGTTTTGTGAAAGATCATTAACATTCAAGTTCTTTAATATTCTTAAGTTCACTGAATTAATTGCTAGTTGTATATTCTTTTTAATTTTATAATTATGAACAAAAATTATTTATTCTTTGTCAGCATTTGCAATGCATCAAACTAACCTGGATCATAAAACTAAATTATATATTATATATATATATATATATATATATATATGTTTGAAACAGTACAGAAACGTATTATAGCATAAAAAGCAAGAAATTTTATATTATAGGCCATGATAGATTTAAAATAAAAACAAAAACACACACCAGTCGACCGGTTTCGTCCCCTCTCATCAGAACTGTTAACGAGGAGCACAAATTATGAAGAGAGAGAAAAAAAAAAGTCAGTCATGGATGACGTGAATGAATGGACAGAGAGAAAAAAACATAACTATTCTTTGGATGAGGACAACACCCGATCCCTTATCCGGTTTCGTAATAACCAAAGAATGGTTATTCTTAAGGGATTTAATAACCTTATGGTGTTCATTTCTCCATTTAAATTCAGAGAAAGAAATAGAAGAACTAGAATAAGAATGAGCCAAATCATTCAATTTGGCTTGAAAGTCGCTGGATTTATCACCAGACAGGTTGAAGCTTCGAGAATTGAGCATAAAATACTTCAAATTCAGAAAAAATATTCTCCCTACTAATAGAAGTAAAAGGGATGCTAAAGTCTAGGCCATAGGCCAAGATAGCAAGCTCAATCTCTGAAAGAGAATAAGAGGACAAATTAACTACATTTTGTAGCATTTGGTTCAACCATACAGCCAAATATTAAACCATATTAATTCTGTTATTTACCATTTCAAATGTAGTTGTGGATGCGATTACATAGATAGAACGACACAGCGTTTGGACGTTAGAATTAAACAACACGTACCTGCCATAATACTGAATAAAAATTTTTCGTTGGGCGATACCATTCGTAACACGTATGGGTCTTCGATTGCGGATCACTTTATAAAAAATCCCACTTGTGCGATGGATTTCAGTGTGAACTGGTTTTCCGTTTTAGCCAGAGCACACTCATTATTCCATCTTAAGGTGTTGGAGACGCTGTACATCAGGGCCAGGCGACCTGCTCCTTTGTAAACAAAGAGATTGTTTGCTTGGACTTGCTGTGCTGCGCTTCTAGCATCTTTGTTGGTATAATTTTTATAATATTTTTTTCTCCCTGTCCACTCATTCATGTCATTCATGACAGACTTCTTTTTTTTTTTCTCTCTCTCCTCATAATTTGTGTTCCCCGTTAACAGTTCCGATGAGAGGGGACGAAACCGGTCGACTGGTGTGTGTTTTTGTTTTTATTTTAAATATATATATATATATATATATGTTTTCAATGGTCAAGTTTGCTTTCGTTTGTTCTAATAATAGCAGCTGCATAAGTCAGCGGTTTTTTTTTTTTTTTTGTTTGTTTTTGGTTTTTGTTTTTGTTTTTTGTTGCCTGCCTTTGGTATTTTTTACTTCATCACAAAATCAGTTTACGAACTAATAACTGTTACCAATGGATTTTGGTATGCTTTTGAATATTTACTATACAGGTGGGCGATGAAAAATTTTGACTTGTGAAAGTGGGCGATGATGCCAAAACGGTTGAGAACCCCTGTGTTAGAGAGAGATTGCTGGAGAAAGTCGCATGAGATTTTAGAAAAGGGACCAAGAGTCTGGGCAATTTATTTTCGTCAGTTGAAAGAATTTTTTACTTTGTTGAATTGGGCTCTTGGTTTCAGGTTCACTTTAAAGCACCGAAAACTGATTGGATGATAATTTTTCCTGTGTTGAGTTCTGATTGGCCAGTGTGGTGATGTGTTTACACCTGACAGACACACAAAGAAAGAGAAGAAATTTTATTTTGGCAAAAACAGACGACGACTTCAAATTTAGATATTTTACTTATTACGAAAGTAAGTAAACTTATTTCTATGTTTCAGCTTCCCAAGAATTAAGTCTAATCAACACGGGAATTACAGAAGCACTGATGGGTCTGAAGTCAAGCCAGGCACCGTTAACCTCGTCTTCTGTGAGGCAGCTAAATGAAGCAGAGGAAATTAAATTAGTTGAACGGTAAATTTATTTCTCCCGTTTTCTCTAAAAAAACTTCATCCGCCAAAATGGTCATCTCAGCGAATCTAACATTTTAAAGACTTCATGATATTCTAATATCATGAAGTCTTACAATAATTATTATAATCTTTCTTAATTCTTCTTAAGCTGTCTGTTTCTTCAGGGAAATATAAGTGAAAATTAAAAACTAAGTAAATATTTTCTTTTAAAACCAAAAACTATTCGTTAGTTCAGATCCTCAACTACTGAGTTAAGTCAAGTTCTTTAAGATGTTGACTGTGATTTATTTTTGTAAATATGCTTATAATGAATAACTTCCGTGGTCAAGGAAGTTTTTGATTCCTTAGCAGTTGTTAGTTCAATCTCTGAGTTTCATAGCAGATTCTACTTGGTTCGAACACTTTGGCACATAACTTTTACTACTTCTGACATATCTCGCCAAGATGGAAGTGTTAGTTAGGACAAGGATTAATGCTAAAAATATTAATTTAAAGTACTTTTCTGTGCCTCCACGATGGATTAAATCTCACGATAAAAATAAAGAAAAACAGTTGATTAGTTGTAAAAATGAAATAGCAACATTATTATGTCCACCAAAAGAAAAGAAAGTTTTTTTTTATCGAATCATGAAATGGTATAAAAGTTTTATTCCCTAGCAAATCAAAGTTCTTTAGTCAAAAATCAAAAATTTAGTTAATAGAAATAGTAAGTCATAATAGGCACAAACCACAAAATAAGACTCAAGCAATGAAAAATTTTAAAGAAAAAACATTTATTACACAAGTACGAAAAAGGTACAAATAAAAAAATTTGCACAAAAATGTCCTTAGGTGCACCTATTAAGGCAAGATAACAATTTCTGATAAAATGATTAACATTGAAAAATGTAAAAAAATTACAGTTTGGGAAAAGACAAGGATTTTGAGAAAAGCAAAAAGAGAAAACAATTCAAGAAGGCAATAGTAAAACAAACATGCAGCCACCTTTGAGAAAAAAAAAAAAAAAGAAAAAATCACCTACGAGCATCTCTGGAACATAGAGTAAATCTTTGAAAAGTCCCTTTTTAAGTTCACAGTTCGTGGGAAATTTTTAGAATTTTTTTCGTTCTTTGTTGTTCAACCACAGGAGAATTTTTCACCTGAACTTCAAAATTCTTTTTGGATCTCTGCAGCTGGATCGTAACCTTGCGCCTTCTTGATGTTCTCTTCTTGATGTCAAATGCCTTCTGCTTCTTGATGTTCATTTCCTTTTGCTGTCAAAAAGTCTTCTTGCCCCATCTACTGACCTTAGCTCTATTTATTCAGAAATTTAGGCTCACAAAGCCTGCATTCGAGTTCTTACTAGGGCTCGAAGTCACGTCTCTCATTGTTCAGTATATGTGAAAAATTAATTTCCGATAAACTGGAAATGTATCCTTCAAAAATTTTGGCGGGTTTTAACTGCTGAGCCGAAAAAAGATATACAAGTGTAACGAAGCGTTTAAACTTTATAAAAATACACATCTCTCTAAAGAGTGTGTTCCAAAAAAAAAAAAGAAGACATCCTAGTCGATTAAACATTTATTCAAGACTAATATTTTTAAAAGTTGTAAAATATTTTTTTTATAATAGTAAGATAGCATTTTTGTTACAATTATTATCACGCGTACATAGCAATACAACGGAAGAAGAGAAAAGACTAACTTGACAGTATTATTAAGTCATGTAAGAAACGATAAATAACAAGCAAATATAGTTAACAAAAAAGAGGATATCATTTTTATACAGAAATACACAAGACACTTTTTGAAAGAGTAAGTTTATAAACGAAGTTTACGTTGGTTGAATGTTCGTTTTTGTGATAATAATGTCCTCGGTGAGTATTCAAAGAAAAACTTATTTGTTGTGATTTGTTGTTTGCGAGTGAGGTAGAGATGTGTGAACCCAGTAAAATACGAAATAAAATTGCTACATGTGTGTAAATGAGGATAAATTGTGTGTGAGAAGAGGTACCAAAAAAAAAAAAAAAACTGGCTGAATGTTAAGTTACGGCCGTTTATACATTTTTGGTAGGATCAGTCGGTAGTGACTTCCATTTTGTTAAAAAAAAATTATCCTTGGTCATGTGATCTGCTACGTCCGCGCAGTCAATCAGTCAGCAATCCCGTATTACGGTTCGTCGGTTATTCTATTTTTAGCTGTGATGAGTCATGTGATTTTTGAAGTGATTGGTCATGAACTTAGGATGTAACAGCATAGAGAAAGAAATCGGTCCCAAACCTGATTTTTTCCCTTGCCAACCCTAATCGTTTTGTTTAATAATCAGCCATGTTTTAACAGTTTACATTTTACAACTTTACAGGCGCACACGAAAAAATACTTGTGAAACTAACGAAAGGTTTATACGCATTTTGATATTCAACCTAATCAATAACCTTTTGGAAATTGATTCGCCAATTGTTTAAGATCGAAGCTTAAAGTCAGCGGTGGAAAACAAATAAATTTTTAAATCTAATCGAACAATTTGAAATTTGTATAACATCGACCGTAGCTTCTTTCTTAATCATTTCAGCAATCTTGTTTCATTAAGAAACAATGGAGCCAATACATTTTTAAATTCAGTCCATAGTACAGTCTTATCACACATTTCTCGGAAGCCAATAATAACGCCTATTTCCTTTCGACGCTTAGGTTAGATTGGATATGAAAACCATAAAAAAACATGATTTATGTGAATTTTTAAATAAATATGTTTGCAATCTTTTAGGCATGTTTCAGAGATGGAACGCATTGTGGGACAGATCAACCAAAGAATCGATCACAGGCCGTGGGAATCGCTTTCCTGGGAAGACAGAGAAAACCATGTGAACAACAACAACGCAAGAACTAGTCGTGGTAATATTATCTTATTATTTTTCTTTTTTTGTCCGCTACGTATGTCATATTTCACATCTATATAAGGCTTGTGTGATTAATATTGAATGATCATATTTATGATACTCATTTATGAAAGAATGTTTTCATTTTAGTTCTGAATAGCTTAAAAGTTTTTGTAAAGAAAAAATACAGGGACGTCATCCACGAGTTGTCATTCAAGGATATATTTGTGGTAAGAGGTCGCGGCAGCCTAATTACTAGGAATAAACTACTAATACACTAGGCAAATGATGATAACGTTGCGGGTGGCCTGGAGTGTTATCTAAGTGAAGCAGAATCTTAAAAGGAATCTTTTTCTCCTTACAGTAATTTTCTGCTTCAAGTACAAAATGATGGAAGAAACAATCTTCAAAAATAACAACTGTCACCCCCGTCTTTAAATTAGCACCCCAAATAACAGGAAGAGATGCCAAGACTACGTTCTTTAGGGAACACGGTTTCTATGAATGATAAACGAGCAGCGGTTTTAGCTTACAGTCACCTGCACAATTACCGCCTAACAATAAGATCAAACGTTCTTTGGATACCTTGTTGCCTGGGATGTTTCTCGTCCTTGGAAATGAATGAACGATTTGGTATCTTTTTCACTATAATCCTATCTCATCGGCATTGAATATCTCTTCGGGTAGAAACCTATTTTCTTCAATGATCTTCGCTAACGTACCAGAAAATTCCGCTGCAGCAACTTCATCAGCCAATACCCTTTCACCTTGTTTTTTTATCATGCACAAATGTCGATACAGTTGAGAAAACGACGTATCTTCGAAAAGGACTTAACTCGAAACGACTTAAGCCGAAGTATCAATGTTGTAGAGGACCGTGTGTTTACGCGTTGTTGAATTAGGAACACGTGCTGTTTATTCCTGTTAGAAGGTCCAACTACAAGAACAATGGTGGACTCAAGTTGAGTCTAACCGAAGATGTAAAGAAAACAAACAAGACCGATGTATATATGTCAACAAATATATGTATTAAACAACAAATTTAACAAGTGACAAAGGCATCAACATTTGTGTTTGTGTGTGGACGTAAAGAATTTGTATTTGATGAAAGTTCGTACGTACGTGTATGTGTGTTTAATGTTCATGGCGTCTTTCACAAATGGGAAGACGCTATCTTCTGCGAGAGCTTACATTGTAGATGTATTCGCTGAAATGAAGAAATGAAAAAGAGAACGAGGCAATAAATTGCCTAGTATTTATAGTGTAGGGAGAGCGTGTCCTAGTGAAATATTTGGACAATTAAGGAGGAGTTAACTCCGACAATGTAATGCTTTTGTAGAGCACGTCATGAGTGAATGCAACGAACAAGGGGGAAAAGGAATAACAAGCAGAGACGCCAGAATAGAAAGTATCATGCACTGGGAACTGTACAAACAATTTGTATTCAACTATTCAAACAAATGGTATCAGCAGAAACTGGGAGTTGCCCGAGAAAATAAAAACAAATAAGAAAAGTCTTCGGCGGAGCGACCATATTATCTAAGCGAGCAAACTGAGCATGATATTCGTAAGCCAGATTATAGATGTGGTTGTGATAGCAGGCCACTGGATGAAGACAAAAGAAAATTTAAAATATCAGAAACTGAGAAAATGGTCCTGATTCAGGTCAAGCCCATAATAGCTGGTGCACTTAGAGCTGTGAGAAAAAACATGCTACAAACGGAATAGATGAATTAGAAATTCGAGGAAGAGCTGTCCAGATGACAAAATTGCGAAAGAACACGAGAATACTGAGAAAAGTACTGAAGACTAAAAATACTTGTTGTTACTCAATCCTCAGTGATAACTACCAGATAATTTGTTGGGAACATACAAGTTCAAAATGATGATAAAAACTGAAATATATCCAAGAGAGTTTAAATATCTGTCTATATTTCTGAGATGAGATATTTTAACTATTTACACTATTTACATTGTTCGGACTGTTGTCCTCATCTTTATTGCCATATTCACAATGTTTCAGTCGTTGTACGTTCAGGCCTTATCCAGATGATAAACTTTGTAATTTCGAACAATACCCACAGGGAGTAGATTGTTCTAATTCCACGTGTCATGGTTTTTTGGGTGTTTCAACTCTCCAAGTTCTTGTTTGTTCAATACCTGGCCACAGCAGAGGGGACAAAAACTTGGAACTGAAACTGAAATATTCAAAAATGGTATGGCATGTGAAATTACAACTACCCCAGTTCGAATATTCCAACGTACAGCACAGGAAGAAGGCCGGACAACGACCGAAATGTGAACGCGGCAATAAAAATGAGGACAACAGTCCAAATTGTAAATAGTTTAATATCTCATCTCAGAAATATAGACAGATATTTAAATTCCTTTGGATATATTTCAGTTTCCATCATCATTTTGCATTTGTATGATGAGGACAATAGCCCAAACGATGTAAATAGTGTGGATTTAAATATGTCTACCATAACCATTGTATTTTAGTATCGCAACTATTATTGGATAACAACCAAAATATACTGTTCACAGATAAACATTTATTTTAATAAATCAAAAATGACATGCATATTGTTCCATATGCTAAACAGTAACAAAACATAATGATAAACAAAAGGATTTACTTACTTACATTAATTTTGTCAGTCTATAGAATGTATCATTCTTTAAACTGACAACTTAAACTTTTTTTTTTTTTTCAACCTTTTCTCTCTTTTTTTCCTTATAATGAAAAACTTGTATTATTAAAATCTTCTTAACAGTCAATTTCTTCAGATACTTTTCTCTTCTTTTCTTCACAATTCTTTTTCACCTTTTTTCTTCAAATACATTTCTTTTTCTTCTTCAGAAATTCTTTTTCTCTTTCTTAGGAGCTGAAAGCGAAAATTAGAAAACACAACGCCTCACCTGGGCTAAGATCAAATTTTAAAATAAATATCTACTTAAAATATTGATATATCCCGGAAAGGGATATATTTGTTCGAAGTAGCAAAGTGGTTTTGGACTACTGTAACCGAGTAGGACAATCTAGCAGGTAACCGTAATGGACTGGTCCTCGTCGTAGTGGTAGGCAATAGGCGCGTCAATAGGCGTAGCTAATAGGCGTCGTCAATAGGCTTCGTTGTACCTCCACATCAGTCTGTATTTATGGCTGACGCCAGCCAATCATATTACTGTGAGGTGGAACCGAGGTGTATGCATATTCATTACATCAAATATTTTAAATAGAGAACGAGAATGGGGCAGCCTTTCCGCATCGAACGACTCTGCCAAATAAAACATTGACTCTCTGAGTCAACAATACAATCAAAGGCAATAATTCCTCTACTTGGGAATAAAAACACCTCTTCCAAATAAATGTCTCTTTGACAAAATGAAACAAATCTCCAAAAGCCGCCAAGTACCTTTGTTATCTTTAACAACAAAGTTCTAGATTTGTGTCAATACCTCAATAGGCCTTATAAGTCAAATCAAAATAAAATATAACTTTTCTCAAGCAATATTTAAACAAATTTATAACTTTTCTCAAGTTATATTTAAACAAATTTTACCTTCGGAGTTCTACCGGAGCTAGTAAAAAATCTTTTGTACAGAGTCGCCCGAAACGAAAAACTCACATCCCTAAATAAAATCAGACATGTAGCAATTAAAGTTAAAATATATTAAAGAAAATAATTAGACGCTGTAAGTCGAATATTCGAAGTAACACATTGCTTTACGTATCAAACTAAATTAGTTGTCCACGGAACCAGAATAAAGCGTCTTTATTCGACGAAAGAAAAATTTATGACTGAAGAAAATATCTCCTGATCAAAGGGAGATGCCGTCTCCCGCTTCCAACTCGAAAAAAAGGCAGCAATCTCTCCCGATCAAAGGGAGGTGCCGTCTCCCGCCTCCAACCCCATATAAAGGCGGCAATAAAAAAAACCATTGTCTACTTTGCTATCAGTGGCGTATCGTTCCAAATTTCAATACATCAAATATTTCTTCAATGGAGTTATTGAAATGTCTTCGAATTTTAATATTCTAAAATTTTGCAAATAAAAAATTCTCAAACTATTGCCAAAATTGTGATTCATTAACAATAGAGTCAAGAAACGTCAAAAATTTACTTGATTTTACTATTTTACTATTCGTCACAATAGTGTTTGTGAGTGTGTAGCCGGGGAAAGATGTAGTTTAGCAGAGCAAGTAACTTTAGCAGCGAGTTGAGAAAAGAGGATATCCTTTAATTTACCAATTTTGATTAACCAACTTCCGAACATCTCAACAAATTTTGTCGATTTGACCCTCTCTCTTCAAAGGATCATCTGAGCATTACGTGACTTCGCTGACACTTTTTACATTCTCTACTAAGGACTGTTATAACTTCTTTAAGTTTCCACTTTCTTATGGACATTTTCTCCAGTACTCAAAAAATTTCTTCAGGTACTCAAAAAATATTTTGAGCAACACCAACATCTTTGTTTTCACATAAAATATTGTTGTAAATAAACACATTAAGAGTCTTAAAGAGATGTTAATGGATATTTTTTGTATATGGGAAAATCTTCATACTAATTTCAATTAAGTGTTGATTTGCGGTTAAATAGATTATTTCCCGTTGGAAGAAGATTCAGTTAGCATATATTATGCAGGTAATTAGTATATAAAATACAAAAATATTTCTTTTATTTTATATTCATATAAATTATTTTTAGGTAATTCTACGCTGTCATTTTCCCAGGAAGCCTTCACCTGTCCTATTCTCATTGTGAGTAAGCAGCATTTATTCATTCTTTAAACAAAACTCTCTCTCTCTCTCTCTTCTCTCTCTCTCTCTCTCTCTCTCTCTCTCTGTCTCTGTGTGTGTGTGTTAACATGAATAGAGGGTGTTGTAGTTTGTGTAATCCGATTAAAAATGATAGCATTAACTACAAATATTACAAGTATAATTGGTTTTACTGATATTTTAACGGTAGCCAAATACTCGAATTGTGATATAATCATTGAAACAGATTTCTAATTTATCGTTTTTTTTTTGCCTTTATAAAAAAGAGAAGCAATTTCCTTGTCGACACCTTCCTTTAAATGTGAATAAAAATTGATTTGTCTTATGAATCCCTGGAACTAGTAAATGATGGAAGAATCATTTTACTATCGAACCTTTATAATATTACGCAATCAGGTGTATTTATTTTCCCATTCATATTTAAAAGTTCATTGCATTTTTATTCCAGCGCTGTTGCTTACAACGACGACACCGTTGTTTCCAAATAGTAATTTTGTCTGGTCTTGCTATCCTGATTTTTACTGGATTCATTGTGGGGATATATTGCAGTACAACAGTCTGCTGATAATCTAATAGAACGACGTCGGCAGAAAAAAAGACGCTGAACGAAACTGTTGTGAAAACCTGCCATTAAGACATCACAATGAAACAATAAAGTTCACGGTTTAATTTAAAATGCTAACGAATTTTGACTGTTCTTTACGTGTAATTTATACCATTCATGTCTATTGATCTAGCTTCCCTTGTGCACATTTTCCGAAAATAAAGCTCTTTTGATTCAATTAATAAAGATTTTGGAAAATTTTATTTACAAAAATTTAGAATGTTAATTACAGAGAGTGAGAAGGCATCTTTTCAATAACTTCAGTGGTAAAATATTAGATGATGTAATGATATTTTGTATAATACGCATATGATGGCAAAACAGACGATAATTTTTGTTGCCACTCTTTTTCATGAAATTGGAAGCTGCAGACGACTCCTTTTTATCAGAGGATTTTATCCTCAGTCAGAATTTTTTTCTTGATGAGATAAGACTCTGTGGGGTTCAGCGTACCCGGATTAAAGGAGAATTTAATACGGGATACCCTGCCCACAAAATACAACGCAAATTTCAAGAATGAGCAACACGATAAGGAACGTTTGTAGAAAATGGAACATTGTATATTTATTATCTTGTGCATAGGGTAAAAAAGATTAATGTTTTAGTTCGTTTAAGCAAAAATGTGATTTTGATAAAAATGTCTGTGATCGCTGTCTTTAACAGAGTAGCAGAGTAATGTCTGTTTCTTTTATTTTTGTATAGTTGCAAATGCAAAAGGGGCGAGCAATTTAAGTTGAAAAAGAGAGTGTGAATGAGGAATAAAGATAAAAGGAAAATGTACTTATGAATTGTTTGGGAGTCAGTTGTAAATTTGTTGTTGTTGTTGTTATTGTTGTTGTTGTCCTTTCCTAATCCACTTTCGGCTCTTAGTGTCGGGTTGAGTCAGTGATGAAATTTACTGTCAATCTTTGTGTGATCTTTGCGCCCTTCTCTGACTGACTGACTGGTGACTGACTTGAAAACTCTGTATTTATTGTTGACTTTTTTTCACACTGGCTCGTTATCTTTTTTTTTTTTGGTTTAGCAAATCGCCTCCTTTCATTGGTCAGAAAATTAATTTCACACCTTATTGTGAAATCTGTTTTTGGTCGTTTTGATCCGATTTTGCGGGTGTGCAAATCTACTTTGTGTTTTTTTAGTCATTTGTTGGAATATAGGATTTGTATCCTATAAGTCTTTGTTTCTGGATCCGTGGTAAACTGACTTAATTTGCCACGTAAAATAGCATGCTACTTTGAATGTTCGACTTACAGTGTCGAAGTATTTTCTTTAAATTATAACTTTATAATTAATAATGTCTGACTTTATTTAGGGTAACAGGGTGCGGATTTTTTCGTTTCGGACGACTCTGTAGAAAATTTTTGATAGTTTCGGTAAAATTCCGAAGCTAATATTGGTTTACTATAACTTGAAAAAAGTTATAAATTTGTTTAAATATAACTTGAGAAAAGTTATATTTTATTTTGATTTGACTTATAAGGCCTATTGAGGCACTGACGCAAATGTAGATGTTTGTTAAAGATAACAAAGATACTTTGCGTCTTTTTTTTAGATTTGTTCCAACTTTAACTAAGAAACATTTATTTGCAAGAGGTGATTTTATTCCCAAGAAGAGGAATTATTGCCTTTAATTTGTTACTATTGTTGACTCGGAGAGTCAACATTTTTTTGTCAGAGTCGTTCGATGCGGGGGAAGGCAGCCCCATTCTCGTTCTCTATTTTAAGATGAGATTTTAAAAATTATTTCAAATAGATATTTATTTTAAAATATTTTAAAGTATATTTTTCATGGAATAAGAAGATTTTAAGATTTTATTAGTCTAGGTTGTGCGTTGGGTTTTCTAATTCACGCTTTCAGCTCCTGAGAAAGTGAAAAAGAGTTTCTGAAGAAGAAAAATAAATGTATTTGAAAAAAGAAGAAAGGAGATAAAAGAATCTGAAAAAAAAGTCAGGAGTCCCGTCGGTGGAGGGCAAAAGAAAAGAGAAAAGCAAAGACAATTTACAACACGCGATCAAGTAGAATGCGTCAAGTAGTTTGGCAGGATAAAAGATCTTCGTCCTCCTGGTCATCCAGAAGTGTGGGGGTTTGGGGGACTCAACTAATTTTTTGTGGGCCAAGAGAGTACTCACAGTTATAAGAAGCGAGAACACAGTAGAGATAGGGATAGAAGATGCGAAAAAGTACTTTTCAATACCGCCCCTAGCAATCAAGAACTGTGAGGGAGTTAACAAAGTAAAACATTTTTGTCGTTGAAGAGTCCCCATTTCGGCTAACCCCCCCCCCCCACGACAGGACATTAAAGTTAACCTTCTGGGACATTGGCGGCATATCCCAAGGCGTCACCATCAAGACCGAGGTGGTTAGGCGGTCGGTGTTCTCACTCCGACGATGTTCAAGACAGACTCGACTATAAGGCTTTCACAATGGCTCTTTGGTTGGCGAGTTGAAATGTTGGAGGCCGAAGGTCGGAGTCTCGATGGGTTAGACCCCTTCACGAGTGAATGTTTTTTTGTTTGCAGGACGATGAGGATATTTTCGCTAAGGGATTCCGCTTCTACTCGATTTATTTTGATAGTTGCTAAAAAAAGTTTATTGACTGGTGAGCAGGTCCTTGAAGACTTCGTGTGCTCTTGTGTTTGTGGATCAGGCGCGCAATATTTGCATCATAAATGTCACCATAAAATGTAAGCATCTTCGCTTCTTTGGGAGTTCATGTGTCCAATAATCGAACGGAGCAGGTGGACTTTCTTTAGCAGCTCGAGCGGTTCTTGATGATCTCTTTTGCGGGTACCTCTATCAAGTGATTGGAATGCCGTCTTTAATCCTGATTTAGGACGTAGTGGGGAAAGATCGGGTACTAACAACCTGGATGTGAAACCATTTCGAGATTTTATCGAAAGTTTTGATCTGATTAATAAGTTTAGAAATGAATAGCCTCGGGAAGTAATATGGACTCGGACAAATAGGGGTAGTGCGTACAAGCTATTCCGCCTATGCTGGCCATGTGTCTGTGTTAGTAAAGAGTACCACCGAAATAGATAAAGAAGGAAATGAAATTAACAGGTATGAAATGGTAGCGGGGACCAAAATCAACCGCGATATGTTTGGGCATTGCAGTTGGGCGAATGGAAGGGATTTTCTATTCTCAAGCTCTTCAGTTGGACAGACTAGCTGGGTAAGAATTGTTCAGAATTTCGAGAAAATGTCGAGAAACCTTTCCTTGAATGGGGAGGACAGTGAAATGTGCAAGGCACATCTATCAGATTCTCTGACTAGTGCAAATGCGTTCGCAAGTGGACGGTAATGGCGAATTTTTGGAATGAAGGCTGAGAAGGAGCATTCAGATGAGGGGGGAGCCGTTTGCCCCGTGCAAAATGCCCTTTCTATCAGGAATGTCGCGGCGTGTTTTCTCTTAAAGGTAAAGGTCGTCTCTGACATTAGGCATTGTCTCAGAAGGCTTTATATTGTTCTAGTGTTGCGGGGGTGGGCTCGAGATGATTTGATCTAATTAGTGTATAATTTTCACAAACACCCAATTCATAAAGTGCTTTACAGGTTTTAATTTGGGCTTTGTATAGAGTAGATTGATCAGAAGTTATTGGAGTCAATTGCTTTAAAGTAGATCGCTAAAAAAGTGCATAGCATGATGAAGAAGACGCCAAACTTCACGAAAACAAGATTTTATCGTCTAAATGTCTATGTTATTATTAAGAGAAAAGATCAAAGTATTTTTGGGGTATTTTTTACAAATTTTTATCGTTCCTAGCACGTCCGAAATTTTCGTTAAAAATCTTGTTTTTTTTTTTAGTCAACAAAAGTGACAGATAATCAATCATCTCAGCCATTTTTTTCCGTTTTATAAAAAAAAAAAAAAAAAGTTTGAAATTCGTTTAAAAATCAATTATCATTTTTTCAAAACTTATTTTAAGAAAATCAGAAATTATGTTTATTTAAAATATTTTGAAACCAGCATTATTTAGTTTCTGCGCCGAAAAGGTGTAGTTTGAAAATTAAAAAAGCAGGTCATAACCTTTCACGTCACTTGACAAGTGATGAATGACGTATTGATGGATTACGTGAGGATAATTTGTTCTACGGAAGGAGAGAAGTGAAATTATTTAGATTTAAATGAACAAATTATTTACCTCGTTATTTTTAGGGAAAACTTTCAGCGCTCTAATTTTTCTTTTTTTGTACTTAGCTTTCACCTTTACGTTTACGATGCTTTATGGAAAATATATTATAAAGAAATTAAAATAAGACTGTTAAAAGTGAGAATAAATTTCATAAGAAAGGTATCTAATTAATTTATAGGTATCTTTCTTATGAAATTTTATCAGAAGTCTACATAAAATACTATAATTTTATGTACATTTATTACATTTTACTGTGTTATTTGTATTTCCATTCATTTTATTATTAATTTTGATATTTCATTCATGGAAAAATGTCATAACTGAGATTAATATAAAAATAAGATCATATAAATTTCATAAGATGATACTGATACTTGTAGGTACCCTTCTCAGTTGAAATTGAAAAATTAAATTAACTGCTCCACATGTGTTTCGCAAAAGTAAAGGCCTTAACAACAGAGAACAATGCTTAACTCAAATAACGCAACTTAATTGTATTCTGGTCGGCCTTCCGTACTTTATATTTACAGCCCGATTATAAACACATAATTACATTTCTTAATTACTGCGGGTCTTCTGATGAGTTAAAACGATACAATTTACAATGTGCTAAAAAAAGATCTATCTCATAAGGACATTTACGAAACTTGATGCGGCTTTTAACTAAATTTATAATATTTTAACAACTTAAATGTAAAAATCTATTATAATTAAAGAAATAATAAATAATGGTATTAAAAATTCATTTTTCATCGAAAAATTTTTTTGCTTTCAGAAAATATTGTCCATATTCATAAAAATTAAAAGCAAATAAAAGCATTTCAAATGAAATAATATCTGTCCGTACGATTTTGTCCCGCCTTCACAACAGGCTTTGTTGAATCTTTTGTTGGTTCAGGTCCTTCCACGGCAATCGTGGACTCTTCTTCAATATCAGTTGGGGGTCCCAATGCACTCGGGTCGGACCTACCTTGGTAAAGTGCACTAATTGGAATCCCTCCTTCACTCATGCACTCCAGTGCCAGTTTATTCTGCCCGGTTGACAACACCACACGCCTCTTCAACCACCACCAAACAAGCAAGGCCACGACTATCATTAGTATAATTCCCACAACGGTCGGCCAGGTTATTATAGCAACTCAATTCTCTCTCCAACCCGAATTCGGTGTACCTATCTTACCTAACTCCGACTTCAACCGTTCAAGATCAATCTTATCTATTGGCCTTAACAACGCCGGCATCTTTTCTAGCAACATCTTCGGAATCTCACTTACAATGGGTTCCCACAATCCCGTCCATCCACTGGTATTCGTTCCTACCAGCTCTAACAAAGCCTCATTCTCTCCAAACTTCTCTTCTGCTTGGTAGTAGGGGGGGGGGGTAAAGAGATAGATGGACCTTGAGCTCCACAACCAATGGGTAGCTCTACGAAAAACAAAGGAGAAATAACTCTTATCGTAGTGGTGGGCTTCCCTTCACACACCTTAGATAATTCGATCTCTTCTTGTGAGGCCACCGCCCAAATTCCGTCAGAGACACTGGTTGCTTTAGGTAACATTACACTAGCCAACACCTCTACTTGACAATGATCTCTAATTCCCTTCTTATTTTTCTTAAATAAATCTAGTACACACAGAGTGTGACTACCTGTCAGATAAATTGGATTTACAGTCCCACAGGTACCTTAGGCATAGTTCTTGCATTTTTCTGCTTCTCCCTTTGTTAATAGCATAAACTCTGTCCTGGCTAGATTTAGGGCAACAAATTCCGTCTCTACCTTGTACCTAGCCACCGCTCCTATCTTCGGCCTTAGTTTTGGATAGGGAAGGGGAAGATTCATCACCTGATAAATTTCAAAGGTACTATCTCTGTCCAGTATTGGAACCGGCACTAGCACTAGCAATTTGTCATCTTCCAACAAGGTAGTACATCCCAAGGTGCTATAATACCTCCATAACTGCTGGGTTGGGGTCTACAGGTAATCTAAGGTGATGGAGTAGTTTGGCTTGTATCTCCAGTAGTACTTCTCTTAATCGTTCCGGCGTTATTATACTCGGAGACAGGTGTCCCAGCAACAACATGTCTAATTGTGCTCTCTCATGCTCTAACAACACCGTTAAAGATCGACTTGTTTGACGTACCTTTTTCTCATTATAGCTAATAATTGAAAATACCTTTGCAAAAAAAAAAAAAACTAATTTCTGTAATTCGGTTGTTACAGACGTGGTTACATTTGTCACTTCTTTTCTAAAACCTGTAGGTGAGAAATGAACCAATTGATACTCCCTCTATTCTTAGCCAATTCCAGCCTAGTAACATAGAGTATGGATACACTCTCTCTAACCGACTGAGCCATTGCTTGTTGTCTCTGTTCTACCACCTTTAATTTCCTCTTAATTACTTCGTCTTCGGAGACTGTACCAAACAACACACTTAATGCCTTTCCCATTATAGGTAATACTGCCCTCTTTTGCCTGGTCCGTAACAACTTTATTCCTTTCAAATAGTAACTTATATCCTTCCATTGTCTCTCAAGTATTAGGAATTCCTGAGCTAAGGGGTATAATTATACGGTGGTATTCCGGAGTCTGTAAATAATCTCCGGCGACTTGTGTCCTGGCTGTATCTAGTTTGTCCACTTCGGTCTTCAACTGACCCAGTAACTTCTCATACGACTGCAGGTCTATCACCAAAGTTTTCAACCACTTTGATGTAGTTATAATCACTTCGCTAGTCTTCTTAAATACAGTATTCTCACTGTGTTCCCAGGTATTAGCTACCACAACTAGCATCGTCAGTACTACAAGCCTCCTCTCGTCCATGTCTGCAAAGAGATGGAGAGAATAATTCATCTTACTCAATCATTCTCTTATTGTTTTTATCGGGTGGTTACATCTTAGAGCGATACCTCAAGCACCGACCCACACCACCACCAGCACCGTGCATGCATGGGGGCCGTCCACACAGTTCACCAGCACTAATGATAAATGTACAGTTAGTCCCAGGCCGTCACTCATTCACCACAGCCACTGTACTGGTTTCACTTAATCCTTGGGCTCGGGCTGCACCGCTACCCTCAATCGCCGTTTTAGTGGTAATTTCTCATTAACACTAGGTGCTTTTACAGCCCGCAATTTACTCTGCAATTGAGCTAACGGAATTTCATCCCCTTCTTCCCATTCACTCAGTTCTTCTTCCTCCCTAAGGTTAGGCTCAATCCCTGCTTCCTCGGAATGTCCCGCTGGGGTCAGACTTACCTCCCTCAGCCTTCGAAGGGTAGTTGGGCTAATTTCAATCTCCTCACTCCCTTCACTTTCACTCTCAGTCTCTAACCCTTCAGGTTCTACCAACGTAGTTTTCCTCAACCTTTTCTGTTGAGTTTTTGTTTCGGCTCCTTTCCATTCTCCTATTTCAGCTAACTTTATATCATTCGCATGCACTCTCTTTACCTGTCCGGTCAATTGGTCCCAGATCACAAAGGAAATCGGACTCGTCTGCTCCACGATCCTATAGTATGGACTCCATCTCTGGTCCAATTTACCTTCTCTCATCGGGATTTTATAATACACTGGATCACCGATCTGGAAGGAAACTTCTCTATTTTTATTTACCCTATCGTTTCACCTTTTCTGGGCTCTTTAAATCCTCCTCCTCACATGCGTAAAAGTTTTATGCTGTTGTTCCAAAACTATTTGGTGATGATCCTCTCCTAAATACTTCCTCCTAGGTTGTAACAGATTGTCTATAGGTAAGACTACATCCCTGTCATATAAGTAATAAGGGGAAAATTTTGTCGTTTCGTTCATCGAGAATCTCACAGCTGCTAACGCTTGGGATACGAATAAATCCCAATTTTCCCTTTTATCCTCTGTTAGTTTAGCTAACACATCAGCGAGGGTCTTATGAAATCTTTCTACCTTAGCGTTACTTTGGGGATGATATGGAGAGGTGGTGATGTGCCGTATGTTTAATTCTCCTAACGTCTCTCTCATAATCTGATTCACATCCATTATCGGTAACCAACTGTTCGGGGGCCGCATACCTAGGGAATATTTCGTTCAGTATTATATCTGACACCGTTCGTGCCTTCTTATCCGGTATGGCAAATGCCTCAGACCAATTCGTCAGCCAGTCCACAAAACTCACTATGTAAAGATTACCTCAATGTGTTTCTCCATAGGGCCCGGAAATATCCATGCTTACTTTCTGAAATGGATAATTCGGAACATCCATTTCTAATACTGGGGCAACCCTACTCCTTCGACTCTGTACTTAGCATGTTACACATTTTTTTACATGGTTCACAACATCATTAACATCATTAGGCCTCTAGTAATTTCATTAATCCATACGCCATATCAATTCCCAGGTGTCCTAACCTCCTATGGCATTGGTCTAGAATTTCAGCTCTCAACTTCTCAGGTATCACCATTTTTAAACTTACTTCCCCATCTCTTCCTGAAAGGTAATACAACACTCCATCGTGCATCATATATTTGGAGGTACGCCCAGTCTCTACCCTGGACCTGATAATTGCTATCTCGCTATCCTCTTGGCTTTGCCTAATAAAATCCCTCCAGTGGGGGTCGGAAATAATCTCCGTTTCACTCGTTTCCTGATCTTCCCAATCAAGTCTCTACTTCAACGCCTGTGAATTGATCACATTAATTTGGAATGCTTTATCATCCACACCTGGCTCCAACCTGACATATTCGGTCTCTAATTGCCTCGGAATCCTCAATAACAGGTCAGCACAGGTATTATCCTTCCCTGCCAAATATCCTATTCTGCAGTTATATCCACTTAACTGTTGTATCTTTTTATTCGTCCACTCCGCCTCTAACAGATATTTGAGGGGTTGGTGGTCTGTTTTAATGATAAACACAGCTCCACTCAAATAATAATCTAATTTCTGCACAGCATACAGAATGGCGAACACCTCTTTTTCTATTACTGGCCACCTTTGCTGAATCCCGGAGAGTCGATGAGACAGAAAATAGATCGGCACTTCCTCAGGCACACCCGGTACTGGTCCATCCTTATCGGGACATGGTTGTGTAAGAACTACCCTGATACACTTATCGCTAGCATCGGTGTACAGAACCATGGGCTTCCTCGGGTCTGGGTAGGCCAACAGGGGTACAACTGTCAGCTGGTCCTTTAGAGCCTCGAATGCACGCTGCCACTCCTCGGTTCACTTAAACTTAGCATGCTTCTTAGAGCTATTAGAGAGCCTGTTAGCCGACTAAATGTTGGTATGAACCTCCGGTAATATCCGATGGATCCAATAAATCCCCTAATCTCTCTTACGGTCTTCGGCGCGGGCATGGCTCTTATAACCTCTACTTTGTCTAAATCCGTTTTTATTCCTTCTTTGTTTATGATAAACCATAAGTACTTTGTCTCTTCTTTCATAAACTGACACTTCGATAATTTTAACTTTAATCCATGTTCTCTTAACCTATCGAACACCTTCTGCAGATGTTCAAAATGCTCCTCCGGGGATTTTGAAAACACCATGATGTCATCTAGATACGCCATGGCAAAGGCCTCAGTGCCATTCAATACGATGGATATTAACTGACTAAATACAACCGGGGCGTTTGCCAGCCCAAACGGCATAACTCTAAAATTGAAGAGACCCATGTGGCAGGTAAAAGCGGTCTTTTCCTGATCCTTTTTGCTAAGTGCTACCTGCCAATATCCCGACCTCAAATCCAAGGTGGAAAAACATTCATTCTTTCCTAAAAGATCTAGAATATCATCAATCAAGGGGAGGGGCACTGTCAGCGGTTTCGTAATGGCATTTAATTGACGAAAATCCACACAAAACCTATGCTCTCCATCCTTCTTTTCAACAATCACTATTGGAAAACTCCAGGGAGATTTGGATTTTTCAATTATCCTTGATTCCATCATTTCATTCACTGCATTCTCTACTAATTTTCTTTTGTGGATTGGGATCCTATACAGACTTAACTTAATAGGTGAGTGATTACCCGTGTCTATCTTCATTTCAACTGTCTCCGTCTGCCCCAGTTCCTTATCCGTAATGGCTATTACCTCCCGATTACCGTTCAGCAACCCCCTCACTTTCCTCCTATAACACTCAGGAACTGTTATATCTTCATCCCTTATTTCCTTGCTACCTGTCTTATTCCCAGGTCTATTCTCATTCCATACTCTCACCTGTTTGACTTCTCTCACTGGGCACGCCTGTGCCAGCTCCTCTCCCTGCTTTATTTTAATAGTTTTATTGGCAATATTGGTTAGCAGTAAGGGAACGGTCCCCGACCTCATCACACACGGTTATTTCCCCTTCACTATTACCATACCTATCAGTAGGGACCACTTGGTACAGGTCACTGTTCAGCACTCCTTCTGTTATAATCTTGCCCTTCCCAGATACAGTAGTCCTAGGGGGAAGCTTTATATCTGTCTGGGCCACCACTGGCAATTGTTCATAATTATTCTCTCCCAACAGTATCCCTACCCCGTCTAATGTTAGGGTGGCCGGGTCGAAACGGATCTGTGCCTTATTCTGCCTAAGCCAGTCACTCCCCAAAATTAGCTTACCACACGTCAGGTGCCACATAAACCTCTGGTTCTTGCCAATTGGAAAGGTAGCCACGTCATACCCTCTATCCGCATCCTGCTACTATCAGCCTGACTTATTAGTAGATCGACGGGACTAAGCTTCGTTTTCAGTCCCAACTGTCTAAAAACCTTGGAGCTAACCAGTGACACTGAAGCTCCAGTATCGACAAGGGCCTTCACCTTCTTGTCTCCCAGCAACACATTACAGGTGAAGTCTGACCCTTCCTTCAGCAAACGGTATACCCGTGCCTTTCTCCTTGCCGTATGTTCTCTCCCTTCCTCTCGCTTTCTCGACAGCCGAGGCGTGGGAGTCGGTGACAGGAGTTCAACTTTTTCTAGGGGCTCCCATTTCTATCTAGGGGCCCTCCTGGGTGGGGTAAAGCTCGGATGACTCTCTTTTCTCGGACTAGCAACCCATTCCTCCCTCTATTCGAGTTAGGGTTGTTTCGTTCGATGTGGTCCATCTTTCTCCTGCGAGGACAGGTTCGTCTCAGGTGACCCGCTCCTCCACAGCGCCAACACCTTCGCTCCTTACAACTTGCCGAAAAGTGCCCGACCACATCACATGTCCAGCATCTCAGAGGTCTTACTTGCACTGGGGCCACCCTGCCTCTTATTTTTTCACGGGTGACTCATCGGCGTTTCCCGGACCCTTTTCCTTCTCGGTAGGGGGCACCAACGTATTAACTCGCTTTATCCCCATTTACGGTCTCCCTCTGCCGTACACCACCGAGCCATGTCCCCGAACTCGCCAAAAGTCGTGCAGTTCGGCCCCAAAGACCTTGGGTCGTCTCCATAGTTTGTCGGACAGTCACGGGAACTGCTTCAGCCTTCCAGTCCTCTTCCGCCTCTTCTTTCGGGTCCCGTATATGGATCCGCCCCATCCTCCTTTTTCATCACTACTTTGCCCCCCCCCCCCGGGGGTTCCTACCTACATCCCCTCTTATTCTATTCCAGAGTCGTCCGCTGGTCCGAGCCACCTTATGGCTGCGGCCAGGCTGACCGGTCCCAACTTCAGAACATCGCCCCTCAGGTCCCTGTCACTCAGCGCGTCCGCATACACATCGGCCAACAAGGCCTAAATAGGACTACTGTCCCGTGTCGCCAACTCTGGAAAAGCTAACGCCGCTAGCCCCGCGATTCTTTCCCCCAATTCCTCATTAGTCTCTCCTTGTTGCTGCAGCCGGAAAATTTCCTGACTGCCTCAATGGCCGTACGCTCACTTGCGTATTGCCGCACCAGAGCGGATTTAAGCTCAGTTCACATCAGGGCCGGGTTTTCTTTGTACCCCACCTATAAACTTGGATACCTTCCCCGCTGCAGCGTCGTAAGCTAGGAGCACCATTTCTTGGTCATAGAGGCCATAGATCACCTGCTTCTTCTGAATGGACAGAATCTATTCGTGCAGGTCTGCAGGGTTTCCATTATAGGTAGGTAGCTTCATGCTACCTATCAGCTTCCTGAAACCAATCGATATTTTGGAGACTCCCACGTCCCCAAGGTCATCTGTGATCCTGCTACGCTCATCCTAGCGTCTTTCAACTACTACTTTCCTACGAGAAGAAAGACCGACAACAAAACAAAAGAAAAAATACTTAACACGGTGGTGGCGCTTCAACTGCGTACAAAGTCGACAAAGTACAATCAACAATATTACTGGCAGATCTAAATGCAATGAGCGAAAAAAAGGAAACCAAAAAGTGACTTACCTGAGGTCCACCGCTCCGTGTTTTGTTTCTTTTTCCTCCTTCTTTTGCTTCCTTCTCTTTTCCTCCTTATGTCTTATTCAGACCAATATAGTCCGAAGACTAGAGTCCTTTCTGGTCTTACTTGGTCCCGACTGGACAAAAGAAATGCAACCTTCTCTCCTCTTTCAGACGGCCGTGGTAATTGCCATGGGTCTATCCTGGTCAACACAGCACCAGTCTAACACTTTCGCCCCAGCCCCTTAACCTCCGACGTCTTACTCCCTGGGTTGAGGTGTCTACTCGGTCCTAACCGAACTTAAGGGAGTGGCCGTAGGTCCTCTGAGCATCTGTAGATTATTCGACCGGGCCACTGGTTTAATCCTGCTTCCTGTTCACATTGTGTTTGGTTCGATCCAGAAAGCAGAAGTGATGTTCATCCATTCACAGTCAACTGAAGATGTAGACACGACTGGAGAGTCTGCGTTAAGAAATTTAGAATGCAGCAAAAAAAAAAAAAAAATTATCTGCAGATTTAACTTGTGATTAACTTGTTAAATCGTCTCAGAACGATATACGACTTTTGCGATGGGGGAATAAGATTTCTGTGCACGGCTTAAAGTTTATAGTGGCGTTCCTCCTTAGGAGTAGTAACATTAGTAGTAATATTCGTGGTAGCAGAAGCAGCGGTACTTATATCAACAGCACATGTTAGCGGACGCTTCGTTCCAATCTCTGACGTCACTTTCTCTCCTTCTTGAGTCTGCAACTCGACTCTCCACTGTCTCTAGCCCAACTCTTGCTCGGGATAATTCTTTTCTGTCTCTCTCTTCCGCCTGCACACTCGCCCATCTCTCTCTTCCGTCTGTGTTTTTCAGCATAACTACTCGTTTATATAGAAAAATACGGCTGGTTACAACTGAACCTTGGCCCTACTGCTTCGCACGTGATTATCACGGGGTTTTGGCTGTTTCAACCAAAATCCTGTGAATTCAAAAGTTTCTTCTAGCTTACTCAGCTCTATTTCAATTTTTAATCGATAAAAATTATTTCGGCCATTTCCATTGTCTTCTGACGACACCAGATTCAATGGGTACAACTTCTGGCCTAGATCAGGTTTCACCATCAGTAAACAAAAATGCTCTGATCTAATTTCGCTATTCGAATCCGCTCCAATTTCACTAAAAAAGAAAAAAATACGTGTGTGTGTGTGTGTGTGTGTTTCCCAGACTCTGTCACAATATACCTAAATTTTAACATTTACTTTTTAAAATAATCCTCAAAGAAAAAAAGCGATAAAAAGCATTTTTTTAAAATTTTATACTGCATTATAGTGTAAATGTAATATTCCCAATAAGCAAAATACAGATATAAAAAAAAAGAAAAAAAATTTTCAGATTTTCTAAAAGAGAAACATTTAGAATATAATTTCATTCATTTTTGAATAAGTCTTGAATGTTTCATTAAAATCTGTTGTAGAGGCGATAATGGAAGGCAGAACTTTGTTGTTATTCTATAGAATGTAGTGGAACCCCTAGTGGGGACACAATATAACATGACCTGTGCACCCAATAAGTATGAGTCACAAGAGGCCCACTAACATTTATAATTAAAGATGTTAAATCTGACAGGTCGATAAGAGGACAACAAACTTAAGATTTAATACAAAATTTATTTACAACACAGACCAGAGTCCTTGTAGGTTAAATTAGAATGTAAGTCCGTGGCTTGTAAGTTCAGTTCACATGTCTAGCAGAAGTGCTGGCATTGAGAGATTGCTGGTCAAGTCCAATGTCCAGCGCTGGCGTTGTGTAGTTGCTGGTCGAATCCAAAGTCTGGCACTGGTGTTGCATACTTGCTGATCAAAGTCCAATGGTGAACCTTCCATAGTATCATAACTGAAGTGTGCAGCAAAGGTTGTTTGAGTCTGGACGATATGCATGTAGCAAGTAAGGACCATGGTGTAGCTGGAAGTTCAGGGATGTTGTAAGCAGGTCTATTGACGCAGCTGAACCAGGTGAGTTAGGTTGGATTAAGGGCTGGAAGTAATGAAGGGCAGGAATATCGGAAGTCAGAATCTGTGGTAACCGGAAGTAATAAAGGCTAGGAATGTCGGAAGTAAGGGTTTGCAGTAGCTGGAAATAAGTAAGGGCAAGAGTGTCGGAAGTAAGTATGAATAGAAAAGCCCAACTCGCGTCCAGTTGGCAAACAAAAATAAATGGGAACAGCCAAGTGTCCTGGCTAAAAATGGCCAGGGGTCTGCATTTCCCCCACTCTCTCCTGGGTTTGACAAGAAGTTGCTGGGTTATGTGGAAAGTGAGTGTAAACACTAACTGGTCCTGCAAGATACTAAAAATCTCAAAAAAATAAATTGAGATGTCCTACGAAATATGAAAGCATAGAAATGTTCACAAAGTGTATTATGACTGGTTCATAACACTGAAGGAACTATAAAGTCATTAGGCTTATTATAAATGTAAATGAATTTAAATTCAAGGGAGTGTGGCAATGCAATGAAGAAAAGGTCGAGGTTATAGCATCCGCCCATGGTCATGTGGACGGGGTAGCGAAGGGCTACAATTAGAGGTTAATTCCTTCTCCACATCAGCAAGCATAAAGCCAAGCATCAAACAAAAGCAGACATTTAGCAGAGGTAAATAAATGCACAATTTATTTACATATATACAAAGACTGGTAACTTCTATTTGTTGCTGTTGCTAAGGCAGTAAAGAGAGAGTGTAGTGAAATTAGAAGTGAGTTGATACTGCTGTTTCGTCATCTCTCTCTCAGCATGTCGGTGTTGACATCTAACGTTGATCTGTGTAAGATCTGTCTGAATTTGGCCATATACAGGTTTTAGTCAGCTCAAAATTAAGGTTTTGGCTTTTTGAGCAGGAGTAGCCCTGACTGGTCATAATATTAATTTTGTTTTGGTTAAAGCAGATGTATGCATGAAGCCAATATGCAGTCTGCTTTGGGCTGTCAAATGGTCAACATTCAGTTTGTGTAGATGTAGGAGGTACGACAAATCCAACAATTATCTGATTGTTGCAACAATTTCCAAATGAATGTTTTTCACCACAAAAAGACACTCAAATTTCTTGTACTAATTTATGGTCCTGTGTTGAGGTCAGGAAAACAAGATTTTTAACGGAAGTTTCCAAGGTTCTAAAAGGACAAAAAACATTACATAAAAAACTCAGCGATTTTGACAATAAAATTTTGTTTTTTGTGTTTTGGGCATTTTTCTTGCATTCTTTTTTTGCAAATTTTTGCAAGTACCTATCCAAAACTAACTTCATTTTTGGAAAAATTCTGAAATACGCATTAAAATATAGTCGTACGTTTTCAGAACATTATAATTCTGCTTGTCATCAATGTAAAATTACTTACATGAAGATGTTGTTTAATAATTGTCATTATTTAAATAAGTGGCATAAAAAATAAAGATGATCAAAATAGAAAACAAAAGAATAAGCAAATGAACCAAGTCATTTTCTCAATTCTGAAAGGAAAAAATATTTTTGTTGAGCTCAAAATTTTCTCCATGTTATTCCATTAAATTTAAATTCAATGAACTTGTCGTAAGTTAGATAATCTGATAGAAATTTGAAACAAAATTCAAGTTTCATTCAACTAATTGTCGCATACAGCTATGAAATAAAGAAGTTCTGTCACAAACTTTCAATAAGTTTTAGATTTGAGCCTTTTACTATTTATAATGTGAAGTCATGTGACTTATAAATTTGCATATTCCAACATTCTTCCCTCCTAGAAAAGTGAGGACCATTTTTTTAGTAAAAGAATAAAATTTATTTATTTTTATCCCACCCATATCATGTAGAGGACTTTGATATACGATTCAACCTCTGAGGTTCTTGATGGTTCTGGATATTGGGTTTCTGTTTGAAGACTTACTTTCAAGAGGCGTCAATGACTTATCTGAACAGGCATCGGACTACAACTTTCTTCAGTGGAAAATTCAGTAGAGATTTGTGGAGTTTGCTGAAGTGGTGAGGGTTTTGAATGATCAGAACAGATACAGTTGATTATTTTCTGCCAGGATATTTGATGTTATGAAAGGTTGAATTGCTATCAGTTATTTCAACTTTATCTATTAAGAGATCACTCTTGCTAGTACGGATAAATAGTTGAAGAAACACTCATGGGCTGTACAGTTAGTAGAAGTACATAACAGAGATGCAATAGAATGCAGGGCATGTGGCAAAACTTGTTCCTAATGTTTTCTCTTAGGTTCCAAGACTTAAGATTTAAGAAAATAGTTTTCCATAAAACCCCAATATATAGCTCTGCCTGTTCATTACTTTGGGGATGATGTGACATTAAATTACTGATAGCAAAACCTTTACTCAGTAAATACTCTTTCAATACTCGTGATATAAGTGAATGACCTCTGAGTGAATATAACCTGGCATTCCATGCATACTAAACAAGGATTCTGTTGAAGTTTGCAGATTCATACATGGGAATGCAAGTGAATAGTAAGAATATTTATCAACAATTAAGAACAAGTACAGATTAGGAGTAGCCATTGGGAAAAGCCCCTTAAAGCTGATACTGATAAGTTCCATCTGTCCAGTAGCTTTTATCAGTGTACTTCCAGGAGGTCGATAGAACTGGGGTTTTAATTCAACACAAACTTTGCAAGATGCAGACATTTTCTTAACATCTTCAATTGAAAAGGGGAGATTTCTTGACCTTACAAAATGCAGAAGTCTTGATATACTTGGATGGTATAATTTCTCATGTAAATCCACAAGAGTTAAACCTTGAGAAATTACAGATGCACAATAAACATGACTAAAAGCATCAGCAGCTATGTTACTCTTTCCAGGTCAATATTTGATGTTAAAACTTAATTCACCAAGCTCCATTTTCCATTCATTGATTTTTAGCAGGTTGTTTTTTTTTTGTTTTTTTTTTACTTTTGGTTATCAACCATCAAAGACACTGATTTGGCATTGGTATATAATTTGAAACAGTATTATGATAAAAGATACCTCCATTTATGTATTGCAATGATTATGGCTAAGGCTTATTTCTCAACAATATTATTTCCCTTATTGCTTCCTTGGAGTGTTTTTGACATAAATGTAACAGGTCTTCCAGATATAGCATTATCAGAGCATCACAATCAACCTCAAAAGGCAAGTTTTCCTCAATAACCAGTAAAATTGTTCTACATAACTCAGATTTTAAGAACTCAAAAGCACAAAGAGCTTTTTTATTCAGTGGGAACCAATTAACTTTAACTATCCATTTTGTGTAGTATACAAACATTCCCTATTAAGTGTTCCCATATCTTTAGGAGGAAGTTTCATTTCTTATAATGGCTTCATCCATCCTGGGTCAGGTTTAATGATACAATTTCCCCCACACAATATCCTAAAGTATACAGTGTTGTTACCTTTTGAAAAGTTTTAGAATCATTTAAGGTTAAATTTCTTTTCTTCACAACTTTCAGAAATTCTTAGAACACTTGGAATTTATGTTAAATTTAAAAACTGAGCAAATTTATATATTTAAAATTTAAACTATCAGGGGCAGATATTTCACTTATCAGAATGAATCTTTGTAGTCAAAGTTTTCAACAATATTAAAAATAAAATTATTTCATTTGCTCAAATTTACATATTTATATGTAATTGAGAAATGAAACCAAAGATTTAGAGAATTACATCAAAGGCTTATAGAAAAAAAAGAATTCAAGAGGCAGAAGGTCAAATCTGAAAATTTAAACTGTTCATTAATGTACAGTAATATCATTAACAGTAATATTATCATCATTAAGAATGCTTTATTTAATAAAAAATTAATATTAATGTTACTGCTATTTTCATTTGATCTTTTGTTTTAATAATTAGCTTAAAGATAAAATGTGATAGGAAATGACCAACTTCTGAAGATTTCAACAAAAGATAGTAAATAACATGCATGATAGGTTAGTGTGTCATTTGAAATCCAATTTCTTGTAATTTCTCAAGATATTTTCCAAACTGAAATTTATACCAACTGTAATAGCTGTAAGACCCAAAGGAAAAAAACTGAAAGTGCATACGAAATTCAGAAACAACTTTGGAACATTCAAAATCAAATTCAAATAAAAGATAAACAAAACAAAAAAAATTTGTAAATTTAGCAAAATGCTAAAATAAGTAAATAAGTATTTTGCCAAAATAAATGCTACAAAGATTTATTAAGGCTACAAAGCATATACAATGGGGTGACAAAAAGTTCTCTACTCAATCCACTTCCAAGCACCATAATTTTATTTGAATTCCTTTTTGGTCAAGCTAAGAACTTTCCAACACTCTTGTATATGCAAGATGATAAAGACAAAAATTTATGTAAATATTTCAAATTTATTTTGTATACAAATATTTCAAAAACCCAAAATAATTAACCTCGTTCTTTGGATTTAAAAAAAATAAATAATATTAATTCTTTTTTTTTTTTTAAATCTTTTTCTATAAAAATGTTGGTTCTGGTAAGTTTTCAGGAAAAGGCAATTTCCACTGAACCTTACGTCCAAACTCATACAGTTCTTTGATAATATTTTTTATGTGATCATCTCCATTTTTTGACAGCTCCTCGTAAAGATAATAGAGACGCAGTGCGCTACGAGCATCTTCAATAGAATCATGTGTATAAGATTGGATGTCTATTTCTGGAAAGATTAAAAATCAGTATTAATATAAATCTGTTCTGTGAAAAACCAAAACTTAACTATTGTTTTAGCAACAATATTATCAACTGATTAGGAAATATAAGAACTACATAGAAATATATTATATATATATATATATATATATATATATATATATATAAATATATATAAAATTCTTCAATGGTGTATAATCTTCATAAAAATTGAAAACTTTAAATTTGCAATTTCAGCACAAAAAAGAAAGTGACATTTATTTTCATAAAGAAATTCTTGTTTGTATTGTTTAGATATACAAATTTAATCATAACTTATGCAATGTCAGTTGATTGTGAAATACCTATTAGAAAATTAATCAAGCAGAAAAAAAAAAAACTTACTCAAAAAATAGCGTGCTAGGAATTTTAAAGAAATATTTCTCTGTCGGGGTAGACGTAACAATTCTACTGTATCCATGACTTGGTTTTTAGGGACCTGTAACATAAAACAAACACATTCAATAAAATGATGGATAACTATCAAGAATTCTACCTTCTGCAAGGATTCAATGTGAAAATTGCACTTGGCTCATTCAAATGTCTGATGTAAACAAATTGCATGTATTCTTTGATATAATGTCTAAATGTTTTGAATGCTTGGAACTAATTAAATAAAAAGTACACTTTTGTAACAAATTCAATTTTTTTTTTAAATAATGTCACTGTGTTTTTCAACATCAACTTTTTTATTTATTTTATTTCTTTAAATTACCAATATACCAAGAAAAATTGTAGGTATCTTAAAGAAAAAATACACTGTGTGTATATAAGGACTAAAAATTGAGGAGTGTCAAGCTTTGTCATTTTGCCTTTTCAGTATTTATAAATTAATTATCTGAAGCTTTAAAAAATTTAAATAAATACAATTTCCAGTTTTTTTTTTATGTTACTGGTTATAAATATGGTTTTGGAAGTCTACAATTTTGTAAAAGTTGTTAAAACTTCTGGCACCTTTAGTTGATTATGTGGTGGATGTTAACACAACTGTGTCTTGAAATACAGTGCTACCCAATTGTAGGTACATCTTAGACTGTAAGTGTGTGAAACATGAGTGCATTTAGGCTCTTCTGTCCTTAAAGGGTTAAACTGTAATATTTACTTTAATACTGAGTAGCTGAGCTTACAAAAACTTTTTGGTGAATTACCTAATTGCAAGTTCATTACAATGAGGTGAGTCTGTTGCAAAGAATTATTACATTATTATTAAGTGTGTCATCTTAGAAGACATTTACTAAACAAATATCTAAATCTGATCAAGTTGATCAATTTTGTCAAATTGAAAAATGAATAGATGTTCATTTAAATACAAATGCAACTACAATTGTTTTGATTTGTTATTATCTTTGTTAATTGAAAAGATTGTGATCTGTATAGATGTACAGAGGCTTCCAATCCTCATTCTTTCATATCACTGACTGAAATAACCTTATGGTAACAAACTGTAATGTCAATCCCTGCTTATTCAATATCAGTGTTTTAATTATCAGGTAAAGTAACCTGCATATGGGAATCAATCATATGCTATTTGTGCCATTCGTTAATATATATATATAGTGCCCAGCACAAAAGATACAACCAAATACATAGCCATTTCATTTTTAGATAAAAAGGCTGGGATCACTATTCAATCCTTATTTTGAATAATGTTTTTTTTTGTTTTAGAAAGAATTGGCCATTCTGAATAAACAGAATTTCCAATGGAACTCAAAATTTGAGAAAATTATAAATAATGATTTTACTAAAATACTCACAGAAATATTGATTACACGAAAGTCTTTCTTAAGTCCGTGCCCAACAAAAATAACACCCAAATCAACAAGATATCGCAACTTCATGTATGTGGATTTCAGTGTTGTTAAATGTTTGGTTGATACTGAAGCAATGAGGTCATCTGGTTTTATTCCAGAATATTCAGTCAGATAGTCAACAACTTGTTCCTGCATGGCAATATAATCATCAATAAAAGGTTCACCTTGTAATGGGCCATAGCTGTTGAAAAGAATAAGTTTCATTTTGAATGAAAAACAGATTTTATCTCAAAAAGAAACACAAAATATCTGACAATAAACAACCTAAATAAAACAAAAAAAGCACACACTGATTAACAGCGATTGCCAAAAATGAATACAGAAAAAATAAAGGAGTAATTTAATGTTACCTTTACAAAGTACTGATATATTAACTAAATGAAGTCAACTTTTGTCATTTTTCTTCAAAAGAATAAATAATAATTAACAGATTTATTGATATGCAAAAAATGTTGGTTGTTTATTCTGCAAACATATCTTGCTGTTTTCTCTTAAAAGCTATGCAAAACTTACTGTAATGAAAACTAAAAAATAAACAGTTAAACTGAAAATTCTCCTACTGTGGGGGTGAACTGATTTACAGAAACCAAACATTTTTTTTACAGCGAAATATGTCAAGATAATTAATAGTTAAAAAAACATGACCTGACTTTATAATAAACATTGTATAAAAATTTACATTAAAATATTGCTTTCTTCATCTGCAAGTGCAATAATTTTTTTTTCTAAATAAAGAATTTAAAAAACTTACCCTCTTACACATGTCAGTCGAGCCAAAGCCAAGTGGGAAGGTTTCAATGTTGATCGTGTTCCATCACTCTTTAATTCTGCTTGTTCCTAATCAATAACAATGTCTACATTAAATAAAAGGCATTCAATTTTAAAATGTCATATCAAAACCATTTCATTATAATAGTGGTTAGAGTTGCACATTCAAGAAATTGTACAACAAAATTATACATTAAAAATAATAGTGAGGAAATACATTTGTGCTTTTATGTATATAAAATGATATCGATAAAATATTCAGTTCATATTTTAATTTTCACGATACATGAAACAAAAAAAAATCCTTTACTTATCAAATCAAAGTCCTCAAATCCTTTACTTATCAAATCAAAGTCCTCAAATCCTTTACTTATCAAATCAAAGTCTTCAAATTCTAAATCCATTATTTCTTTTTTGATAATTTCAATTACAAGTTGGCCTTCTTTTCAGCAAATATCAAATTTCTTGAGATTATAAACTAAATGGATTGACAGAATTGTTAACTTATTTTAGCTTCTGTTTAAATTATTCTTGTAAACAATTCCGTGTTATACATTTTATTTCTGTGGTCAGTTTTGTAAACTTTGGTAGACTTCCTTGTAAGAAAGAATCATATTTGAAGTAAATGACTTGTTAAGAAGGAGCCTATTCTTGTGGTTATATTTTGCACTTTCAACACTCTTTAGATTTGTGATTTTAACAATGACTGAGATAAATATAATAAGCCTTTAATCTGATTATCTTTCAGCTTACCATAAATTGTCTTAGATAAATTCCATAGTGAGATTTATGAAAACCATTAATGTAATAAATTTAATATATTATGGATTGAAACTTGCATTAGAAAAATATTTTCTTATTAAGATAATAAAGGCACTTTAAAGATGATGAGTTTATTAAGTTTATCAAGTGCAATAATGTTAATAAAAAAGAGGTTATAAAAGAGAACTGAAAGCAATAAAAAAGAAAAAAGTCGTATGTTTATTGGTAGCACATGCTATCAAAGAAATGGTAAAATCAAAATGAAAAGGAAAAGAGTAATACTAGATTAACTGTAACTAAAATCTTTCTCAAATTTTTAGTCCTTTAATATCATTTTTCAGTATTCAAAGAGAAAAACAAATTTCACCTGATCTAAGGAAACAAATTCTGCATCAAGAGCTACCAAAGATCCTTTTTCTGGAAATTCCTCTGGAGAAAGTGGCACAAATGTTTGATTTGTTCTCTTTGGATTTACTATTCCACTTTCATCAAACAAAACTTTGGATGTTATTGGATTCTGAACTGAAATTTAAACAATGAGTGTAATAAAAATTACTCTTTAGAAATATATTCAAATAATGAATCAGTCACTAAATACCTTTCTATTTTTTTTTCAGGGACAAATATTATTGAAAGAGGGAATAGTAGTCAACATTTGGGAAAACCAGAAAATTTTCTACAAAGAAAGAATGATGTTGTAACCAAATACATAACAATCAGCACACTGTACATACAAATTTTTTTCTAAAAAAAAGTTTAATTGAAACAAGCCTACCAAAATATTGCTAGTTATTTTAATCTCTAACACCAATTCAATGATTTAAATAAATGCCAAAAGAAAAAAAAATGTTAAATGGTAATAAATGGAGTTTCTTTGTTGATACATTTGCAAGCAACTATAACAGTGTTTTCTATAGAAATATCTTAATCAAAAATGGTGGTGGAATCTATTTGGTTCTAATTAAGAGTCATTAACTGAAAATGATGAAAAGTGGTAAGATTCTACAAAGTACAAAATATGTATCTTAGCAGAGAGAATTTATATTAAAACAGTGACCCATTATTTTAAATATATCACTCATGGTGGGATCTCTACTAGCTAGATTGAATTGACATGGTCAAAATATTGTTTATATTAGTGCACATGCAAGTTACAAACAGGCAAAGATAAGGATAGAAGCTAACAATAGGCATTATTAGGTTTGTGAAGGAAGAAACCTTTTTTGTCAAAATTGAGTTTTGGATGGCAAAGAGAAAAAATCTAATAAAAATATTGGTTCTCAACCTCAGCTGATTGCCAGTTATTGTAGCATGAGGGAGGAGGAGGGAAGTATCACGCTCACTGTGATCACCAGCGGTTTCAGTCGGGAAGTGGGTGTCTGGCCTGGGTTTGGGGTGTTTTGGTTGGTTTAGTATCACACACATTGTGGTTGCCAGGGGTTGTAGTACAGAGAGAGGGTTAGCATTGTGCCCATTGGGATCACCAGAGGTTGTAGCACAATGAGGAGGAGAGCACTGCACCCTTTGGGCTGAAGATGGGAAGTTTTGGTTGTACTTTATAATTTCAAAAATGGTTTATAAATGTGTAATAAATCTATTATTTTTATATGGAAATATGTTATGCAGTTGTCTTCTTGCCATTACAACAATATCTAAGGAACCTGGGAAAGCCAGTCCAAACCAACTAATTCCAACTGTGATTATCACTATCAGCAACAACTATGATAAATATGGTTAGCATCCTCTCCACTGCCTGATGCCACATTTGTTGCTGCAACCAGGATCTGATCTTGTTTATCAAGTCCCGAGATGGATCCCACTTCATCACAGTTTATATTGTCACATTTATTTGCTGTTGCTGTTCAACCAAGTGGTAGACTAATGAAAACACCCCACCCACTGCTACATTGCAGTCACTCTGTCATCTTTATTACCTTGTACCAGGAAAGAGAAAAATCACACAAGCTCAAATCCTCATTCCCCCTGTTGATATTGTCGCACAACATTCAAGTAGTTACTACTATATAAAAATGAAAATGAACCCCATTACCACAAACATATATAAAAACAGTTTTTCCTTACCAGAAAGATCATAATAATCATTGAGGTTTTTATGAGCAAAATAAATAATACAAGGAACTTTCCAATCCATGTCAAAATGTAATGCTTCTGACTGAAAAAATAAAGTCAAACCATAAGAAATTTAGAGGCTATTAAATTCATTTACAAAAATAAAATGTCATGAATACTGTATTATAAATGTGTGTGTATGTATAAATTATTCAAATACTTCAAAAAAGTTGTTGAGTTTTTAAAAATATTAAAGTTGTAGCATAAAATTCTTTGGTGATATTGAAATATGAAAGAGTGTGTTCCAATTGTATTACTTTATTTTCAATGTTGATGTTGCTGGCCATGATGACAGTTATTTATATAGTATTGCATTGCCAAGTTTTCTCTTAGTGTTAATGAAGGTTCATAGGCATCTATATATAAGCTTTCTACCTGAGAGGTAGTGAAAGTTCCTAAAGCCAGTCTTAGTTCTTTTATATAGGACTTCCTTGCTGACTCATAAATGAAAAAGCCATAGTCTAGTTTTGATCTGATTAAAGAATAGTAGTGTGTGTGTGTGCGTGTGCGCACAATGTGTCTTTATCTGCATCCCAGTCAGTAGACGCTCTAATTCAGAGAAGTTGGATGGTTTTGTTACATTTGGATTTTAAATGTTTAATGTGGAATAGAAATGATAATTTCTTATCAAAGATGATGCCCAGAAATTGGTGCTGTTTGTCTCTGTGTTATTGTCAAGTTGTAGAACAAGGTCATTATGCATTTTACAAAATTGTCAGATGAGCATGCATTTGAACTTGTCTTTTGAGAATTTGAAGTCATTTATTTTATCGAGAAATAGCTGGAGTTGGCATGTATTTTGTTCTATAGAAAGCAATCTACACCAGTTTTTATGTTTTTTACTATATTATTTATTGCATTGTTAAATAATGTAACAGACAATATGCTCCCTTGTGGTACTCCCATTTATTGCTTTTTCTGACATGAGAGGATATCACTTATCTGTACTTTAAAGTTTCTATCTTTTAAGAAGTTATCAATAATAATTGACATTCTGCTTTTCAGTCTCTTATTATGCCATATTTCTATGTAGAGTCACATGCCTTTTCTAGATCAAAGAATATTATGACAAAGTGCTTTTTTTTCTTTCTTTTTTTAATAAGAGTTTGCAAGCAGAATAGATGGTCAACAGGGCTTCTTTTATTTCTGAATTTGATTTGTATTCTGTGACTAAGTTATTTCTCTCAGGGAACCATATTAATCTGTGGTTTACCATTCTTCCAAATGTTTTACAAACACCACTGGTCAAAGCAATGGATTGGTAATTTATTGTGTCTGTACAGGCTTTTGGGAGTTTGTATCTAGGAATCACATTGGCTTGTTCCCATATATTTCAGGCATTACTACTGGTCTACATATCACTGTTAATTTTTAATAATTTAGGGAAACTTTGGGTAATTGTTTCAAAACCTAGTGATGAATTTCATCAAGGCCAACAGCTGTACTACATGCTGTTTGCAAACAGGTGGATCCTTTTAGGAGGGTCTTACTCCTCTGCAGAGTGATGTAATTGGTATATACTTGTCCCCAACTGACAGTGGCATGAAAGATGTCAAACCATTCTTCATTACCAAACCACTTTTGTGACATCCTAATTAATCTATCAAATATATTTTGGTCAGATATGTCACATCTACAAACAACTCATATACTTCAGTGAGTGTAATCAAGCCACCACCATATCAGCATCTTGCTGTCTCACTTTGCTGGTTAGAGTATCTAAGATGGTACACACGCAAGGAATCAGGCTGCAAACATAACTTCCTGCCACTGGAAGACCAGGTTGATGCCCTTTGGTATAGCATGGTCATCATGTTTCACTCCCATTTATTGGCAAGATAGAAACCTGAAGCATTCAATAATTAGATTGAAAGGGAATGTAGGTCGCCTCATCATACCAGCCTTTTGTAATAGTATTTGCTCTTCACTTCATTAAACTGGTTGCTTACATAAAGCTATCCACACACTGGGTGGTACCTTACAAGCTTCCCACAAGAAAACATTCTGCTACATATCCATGTCAGACACATCTGAAACCACACTTCCCCATTAAGGTGCCATACTGGTTTCAACAGGTACATTATTCAGTCTTCTTTAGTTTATTTAATCATTTAGTGTTTGTAACAATTAAAATGTTTTAGTAGAAATTTTCTTTGTATTTTCTCCATATTATGTTTCTTGAAGCTGTTTTCATGAATTTGTAAACTAACAATACTTACCAATTCAATTGGAGTGATAGCAAAATCATTGAAGAGATACCATTGAGAGCATGTCACTTTTTCTTTACGTTGGTGATAAGTTTTCCCCACTTTCACTGAACTAACAAGATTGCCAGCAGTTTTTGCATCCTTAATATGGGCCACAGTGGCATAGATCTCATATTCTTTGGTCAAATCATCTGCTTCATGAGATTCACTCTTCAAAACAAAGGGTAGAGAAAAATAGGTTCAAACATTAAAAACAGCATATTTCATTCTGTGTTTGAAGATTCTAACTTTTCAAGAGCCGCAAGCAATTATGCTATTTATTTAGTTTAAGGCTGAAATATTATAATGGTAAAAACAGTCAATTCCAACAGACTACTTATATATATTTGTAAAAAATGAATTAAATACAAAAAAGAAATAGGTAAAAAATATTTATATACACTCCAATACAAACAGAAATATATACATGTTGCCACATAATAAATGTAGGCAAATATAGAAAAGCATACATATCCAAGTTTGAAATATTTTCTAAAAATGCATATTTTTATATATACATATCTATACACATATATATTCTCCAATATATCCCATAAATACAATTTATACACATCTCAATACGCATATCCACATATACAAATATATACATCCCCACCTACATACATATATACATACAAATATGATATTACAGTTTATATCTACATAACATTCACATGTAAACAAATACATGTACATATAATCATGCATCCACACATTTACATCTCTTCATAAAATATGTAAAAAATAAAAAAATATGTCTCTTTCTCTCTTTCTATATATATATATATATATATATATATATATATATATATATATATAATTGAACATAGAAGTCAACACTTAGAGGCGACAGTCTGTTTTATGCTATATGGCCTGACAATTGCATATAGCATGAAACAGACTGTCGCTTTAAGTGTTGACTTATGTTCACTTTTTTATTTACACATGCTCTATCTGATATTGAGCACTTTATCCCATAAATATAGCACACCTTAAGACTATATATCTTCATATATATCTCAATACCTTCATACAAATGAATATAAAAACATCTAAGTTACATATTATACATAAACAAACATACACATATGCATACTAACAACTATACATTCATACATATAAATCTGTGCATAAATATAAATATATATATATATATATATATATATATATATATATATATATGGTGTGGAAGTCAACTCATGATCAAATAAGACTATTTCTTGCACTCAAACTTTCTTAATTTTTCACACATTACAGCTATCATAATTTTGTCGCTGATGACATCTCAAATAGCTTTTAAGACCTGCAAGAGTCTTGCAGTTCTTCCCCCATTGCTAACATGTCAGTCTTCCTGCTGCAGCTTGCCTTTCTGGATACTGGCTGTGGAAAGGTTGTGTGAGTCTGCAGGCTGATCAACATACTTTATAGCAGATTGTGCATGTATGATCATCGGGTATGTCACATTGATAGTAGACATCACAATAACTCTGCATGTGACTATAAAGACCTGCTTTTAAAAAGCAGGTGCGGTCACATTGATCACACATAAGAGACACATTCTGGGAGAGGGTTGATGCCTCACATATATCTGCCTGCATGTATATGTTGCACATATTTTATCCTGCTGTTCTGAAAATTTTTGATACCAGTAGCAATCAGATTTTTACATGTTGCTGATGTGATACAAGTTCTTCCCAGGTGTTTATATGTGTCTTTTTGAGTGTGTCCCCCAGATTGTCTTTATAGTGCTTGCTAGATTAGGCATGTGCAAGTTTTCTAGGCAGACAAGGTGACCAGACCATCTTTTTTTATTTTTTCCTTTAATCATTGTCATCCCAAGCAAGGCAGTACAGCCACTAACATGCAAGGGGTTACAGAGTGTGGAGGAATTAGGAACAGAAACATTGGTAATGAGTAGAAAGAGAAAAGAGCAATCAGGAGGACAATAGATAGCAATTGGCATTGCATTTAAATTCTTGCAGATTAAAGTTGGCTGAAAACATGGAGCCAGAAGGGAGTTCCACAAGCAAGAAAAGAAACTGTTAGCAACAATCTCACTGCCAGTCTGGTATTGCAATCAAATTCATAGTTTAGGTACCATAGCACAGGGCTCGTTGGAACAGTTACCATGAAAGTATTTATAAAAAAATCACAGAGAGGCAACCTTATGGTGGTGGGCAAGTGACTGAAGCCAAACCAATAATATTGCTGATTGTTCTTTTGATCTTATCAAAAAGCTCTAAGTAAATCTCAGGGGCACTGGATGGTATATGGTAGCAATATTCTATGTATGGATGAATAGTAGACTTATAGATATGCAAGATAGGTTCAGGTGAGAAGAATTGTCTTGCCCAACACATTGAACCAACTTTCTTAACAGCTGATCTAGCAATGAATTTGAGATAGTCTTTCCATTTCAAGTCAGCTGAGAATGTTTAGTTTAGTTTTGGAATGGTTAAGATTGACAAGCTCCAGTTAATGATGGTCTTAATGTAGCTTTTTACATCAGCTAGTATTTTGACCTTGTCAGACTGATCAGCTTTGGTATCAAGGAAGGAATAGATGGTAGTGTTGTTAGAGTAGATTCCAAGTTGAGAGCTGATTTCATCGGGAAGTTCATTAATGAAGTTGATGTTTCATAACCATGGAATTAATACTTGCTGATCTTGCCAAATGCAGCATGCTTGTATCATGTACATGTGATTGCCATGAGATCTTTTGAATATTACACAGACAACATTGATGAAAGCAATCAAGGCACTTACCTGCAGTAAGTTGTCCATGTCTCACAGCCATATAACATGGTTGTCAACACATGCATGATACACCTCGAATTTTGTCTATATTTCTGAGATGAGGTATTATGTACACTATTTACATTATTCAGACTATTGTCCTCATTTTTGTCCCCTTGGCGACAAAGATGAGGACAATAGTTTGAATAATGTAAATAGTGTACCTCGAATTTTGTTGTTTTTTTAATGTCTGATTGTGAAAAAAGCCTTGACACAAGTTTACCAAATGTATCACATGCCAGCATACATACATACATACACACAAGTTTCATTAGAGATGACTGACAAGGTACTGCAATTAGGCTGTTTTTAATTCTTTGAGTGTTTGTATAAGTGTTTTCTTTTCTGGACATAAAATGTGTAAAAATTGTCCAAATGTTCTATATATCTGAGCACTTTCGGCTTTTCTATTAGCCATTATCAAGGATGTTTTTTATTTTTATTTTGAACTGAATGTGTAGATTTTTTTTTATTCTGTTTCTAGAGTGAGAGGAATGTCTTATTATTTTCAAAGCACAGTCAGGATATTTGTGTTCACAGTTGGTGTTATTGAGTGTTGGCTATTATTTTTTTTAAATATTAATGCTTCCATAATCTTTAGTCTTTTTTACATGTGGATGAGGCTATTATACTTATATTTTCTACACACAAAGAAACCTATCAAGCTCAATCTGCAACATACTTGAATAATTAAATAAAAAGCTTAAAAGAAATTAAATAAAGAGATTGTCTGTCATCTTTAATGAAACTTGTATAAAAGAGGGATTGCTATCAAAATACACATTATATATATATATATATATATATATATATATATATAGTTTTAAGATATGCAATATATTTATGACTAAAATGCTCAATGTCAGGGACAGAGTGTATGTAAATATAAAAGTGGATGCTGAATTCAAAATCAAGTTGTGACAGCAATCACCACAAGATGTTCATCCAAAACACAGTAAATATCAGCATGGGTGTTAATTTAGTCTTGAAATTGAGACTAAGAGATTAGGACTGATTCAGCTACTGTTCCAAGATGGCTAAGAAAAGGGTCTGAACAACAGGCATCTGGAGATGATTGTCATGTAGCACTTGGCAATATTGATGGCTGAATTTGTCCTGAAATTGAGCATAGTATATGTGCTTTCAGAGAAAAACAAAGCTGATATTTCGACACAAAGTAATATTGCCTGAAGATATCTGAGGAAGGAGAACCATGGAGGAGTTGCACTACCTGCATCATAAGGGGATACTGTATCTGTAATACAAGGTTCACCGGGATGTTACAAGGGAAGCTGTTCTGAGGGTAGTCAAGTGTGCACAAAACAGGTAAGGTTCATATAAAGATTGACTGAACAAAGCAAGTCATTGATGTGACTGATGATCAAAGAAAGGAGTATTTAACAATGACTGTGTTAAATAATAGTTTAGCAAACTATTATTTTTAGGGAGGAAGTGTATCTCAGCTCCGACTTCCAGAGGTTGACCTTCGGGGTCAGATATAAGACATAATAAGGAAGCTGATTTTGACTGGCTGAGCTAGCATGGAAACAATAGATAGATAAAGGTTTTTCTGTGAGTTGTTTCTTACCTGTCAAGAAATGTAGACATGTTCTCTTTCACATGATTAATAAAAATAGTTAAGTTAAAATTCTTTCTGCTGAAGTCTTTCATCGCTGAACTGAAACGATTGGTGATCGCTGGCTAAGAGAAAAAGCCAAGCTAACATTCACAGCTGCCAACATGCAACAACTGTGATTCTTTGTAGGGAGATCTAGTCAGAAATTGCAGTCATCATAGCAGGGGCAGTTAACAAGATTTTTTGGGAGTGCTGGACCAGTGTAGGAAATCTTGATCAACAATGGTACATCATTTTGCTCAGAAACTCTTCAAACAATACTGAAGAATGGGTCCATTACTAAAGAGCTGCCTATTGGCCCAGCAGAAAGAACATTGGTGGAGCAACACCACTGAACAATAAAGACCATAGATGAGAGAGGAGAAAAATCACTTATCAGTGTAGTGTTTTGGTTTAATATGTCACCCAAGTCTGGAAAGAAGAAGTAGACAGTACCACAAAAGTCAGTTTTTAACTATACTTGGAAGAACCTGAAAATCTTACCAATAACCAAACAAGGGGAGGCACCTGTATTTAACCAGATTGAAGAAGAGGTCTGAATGAAGTTAATCCATACCCACTGCACTACACAGAGGGGTAAGTGGAGTGATAAGTTGGATGCAATTGAATAATTTATCAGTCAAGAGAGAGACTATGTTACACAAAGATAATTCATGAGTTCAAGTTGGCCAGGAGTCATACAAAAAAAAAATTTATGAAACTTGGGTGGTATGCAGGAGAATGAACAAAGGAATTATATATATATGTCAATGATACTAAAAAAAGGAAAAATTATCACAAGAAATGCTCATTATTAAGTTTTCTGAGCCAGTGTGCAATTGAGATGGACATTGAGGGCAATTGAAGTGAAAACAAGAAGGAAAGAAAAGAACAGAGTGTGAAGAACTGAAAAGGATTTTTTGCTACAACCACTTGTTTTGTTTCAGTGGTTGAAGTGAAAACAAGAAAGTACATTAAAACTGCTTCTGAAACCACATGTTTCATAAGAATAAAAAAAATGTCAACTATTCTAAAAATTAAGAAAAACATATCAACTACAAAATTTGCAAACCTGAGTTACTTTAGCACAAAAAAATACATTTATACATGTCAATTAAAAAATCATTTTCAAAATATTTCTACATTGATTATTATTTAAAAAATGATTTGCCAAATAGATCCTTTCTCTTTTTTTTAGAAAAATAAATAAAAATAATTACTATAATACATTTGCTAGAAATAAGGACCATTTTTTCATTATTAGCCTTTTTTAATGACATAAAAATGTAAGAAATAAATTGTCCTGTAGTTTTAAATAAATTATTAAACTATAAAGATTGTTAAGTTTTTCAACATGTCTAAATTTATCCATATACAATATCAAAAAAAAAAAAAAAACCAAACAACTTTTCGACAAGATTAAAAGACATACAGGAGGGAATAGAGCTGAAAGCTAGAAAGTCACTGAGAAAAGTGCGTTAGTTTCAAAACATATGTTTTAAATAGAACAGTAGAAATATATTAAAAGATGGTTATTGTTTCACAGATACATGAAATTTGAGATATAATGGCTTTATTGGTTTTAAAAACAATAGGAAATAAACTAATTTTTCATCAGTTTTGTATGCTGATTTAAGATATGTACAGCTGAATTAAAATCATTTTCTTCATTGAATATTTGCAAGTTGTAATCTCTATTAAAATGTCTGTTAAGAAAGATTTAATGAAATGAAATAAAGTAATCTTAGAATTTTTTTTACTGTTTCATAATCTTGCTGTGTAAGTGTATAGAAATTATCTTGTGATTAAAATCCCACAAAATGTAGTTATTATTATTGTTGGGAGATCTATCATGGCATTGGGTGAGCAAGCTTTCATGTAGTGAGCTCAATCTTTGTGCTAAGTAAGCCAAGTTAAGCTTAGTAAGTAAAGATCATTATTTTCTCCATTGTACGAGTAAAGAAACACATTTATTTTCAAATTAATTTTAAAATAATGAGTAAAACAATCCTAAAATTTTAAGAAAGCATTCACTTATCACTTGTTGAATTTTTAACTCTTTTAGGTCTATCGTATAAGTCTCGTATATGACCATTGCCATCACATCTTTATCGATCCAGAGTTGTAGTTGATTTTGTTTTTTTCTTAAATATAATAATTGATTAAATTTGAAAATGTTAATTGAAAACAGTTTGTCTAAGAAAAGACAAAGCATAATTATTGCAATAAATATTGCCTGCATTTTTATATCTTAGAATAAATATTTTAATAACTTTTTTCTGGAAGAATTAAGTTCTGCAATGATTGGTATAACACAAGAGCAGAAACTTCAGTGAATACAAATACTAACCTCTTCAGTAAGTTGTGTTACATTAATTTCATCTCCAGCTAAAGAAAGCCTTAGACCCACAGGAACATAACTGGTTCGTAATCCATCATCAGCATCAAAACTGTCAGAAGAAGCATCTGAATTTCTGAAATGATTTTAAAATCTTATTTTTAATAATTAGTTTCCATATTAATAATCTACCCACAGTTTGAGGTTTAATAAGGCTACAATGAAAGAAAAATCTAAAACAAAGAATATTTTAAAACTATCACATCTGAAATAATTTTACAATAGATGCAGAATTAAGAAGATGAACAGTGTTATCTAAGTATTTGATCCTGTGAAAAGATCCTCGGTTGAAAAATTATAAAAATGAAGGATGCAGCACACATGATTTTGTTAAGAGATACTATCAATAAACTGGGTGTGGAATGTAGTGCTAAATGCAAATCAGTTGTCAGAACTAAAAAATTAAATAATGGCCATCTGAGGTGGATAAGCAAGTGTTGATTATATGACACAAAAATATTAGCATATATACACACCATTTTTTCTAAACTATATATGTGTCTAGTTTTAGTCTGATTCAAGAATTTACTACTTTAGCAAAAAGCTTTGATACTTGGATCTATAAACTGAATTGATTGAAGAGGTAATTAAAGAAAATATTTCTGAATAATATTCAAAGATTACTGGATGGAAAACACTATGATAAACAGGGAAGAGAACAATTTTTGGGACAAAATTCAATCTCTCTCATATTATTAATTACTATCATTAATAAAAGAAACTAATTATGAAATTATAATTTGGTTGAATATTAATATTGACACTACTGCTACTATTATTGGTTATTCTATAAATAATTCAAAGATTCTAACAAATCTATTAAATTGTTCAGCATGAAATGGTCTTGAATTAGTAAGAATAATATAACTAAAAAAAGTTCCTTTCTGTTTGCAAAAGAAAAATAAATCAATAATAAAAATTACAATAAACAACAGCAGCAAAAATTTTAAAAATACTTGTGAAAATGTTTAACAATTTTTCATTTGCATTCATTTTCTAAGCAGTTTTATCTTTTGCAAATATAAAACTTACTGGTTATTTTTGTCAGATTTATGAAGAAAAAAACAATCTTGTCTTTTGCATAGTTTTCCATAGCGACAAAGTTTCTTCCTTGGACTGTTAATATCTTCTTGAAGTTCAGGAGGATCTTTTTTTATAAACTGGAAAAAAAAAGCAGTATCTCAATTATCTATAATTATGAAATTATCTATAAACAACAAGTACAAATTTTCTTTACCTGTAATTGAGTCCGCCAGAATTCAACATCTCGGGGATTTTCCAAGCCACAATTCAAAGCAAGAATATCAGGTAATGATTTAATCAGCTTCTTTTGAACCTGGAGTAAAGATTGGTTAAAGAAAAAAAAAAAATGAAAATTTATAAAACACAAAGTATACTATTAACAAATATAAAACAAGATAGATAAAAAGTTTCAGTAACATGCAGCAAAATATAAAGAAATCTTATAGAAAATAACTAGTCACTGATACAAATAATGAGAGACTGAATACATGTATTGTACTGACTTACTTACATTTATGTAAGAGAAGACGAGTATCATTTCACAAATGAAGAGAATCATGGCTAACAGCAATGACCATTTGAAAGGTAATTAAAACTCACAGTATTGAAAGAAATGGAACACAAACTGGCTGAACAGAAGATTTCAAATAAACCAATAGAAATTTTGTGAATTCCTATTTTATATTTCAAATGAAATCATTTACAAAATAAAAATTTCATTTATTCAATTATTTAATTTTGAAATAAAATCATTTTTGAAATTATTCAATTTTTTAAATTTCTATCCATAAATTTCACTTCAAACTTATTTTGCTTATTATTTTGAAACAGCTAATTGAATAAAGTAATTCAAAATAATAAATTAAATGTGTGCATATGTGTAAATTGTTGGTTTGGTGTTTAGGGCATAATTTTTTTAAGTTTGACATAGAATTCTGATAGTACTGAAGTAATAGAGATATCATCAATTCATCTGAATTTTTCTTTTCTTGTGACTGAGTTGATCATAGAGGAGACATGAGTGAGGATGATGCAGACAGCTGTCAACCAGATCTGTTTTCTGCCTCACAAAACAGTGGAGTGTCCATTCTTAAATGTTGTCTATCCAGCTTTTAGACTGCCTTCCCCTATGTCTACCCCTTTCCAAGGTACCTTGAAGAACCATCTTATTGTGGTGTATGACATGTCCAAGCCACAACAGCTTTCTCCTCTTTACTGTTGCCAAGAAAGGCTCCTAGAGGCAGGCCAGTTGTGTTACTTGGCCCTGTACAAAGTCATTTTCCAGGAGATTCCGAGAAGGTGTCTGAAGCATTTTGTTTCAAATGTTTGCATTCTCTTGGTGGGTTCTGCTATCAGAATCCAGCTTTCACATCTATAGAGCAGTATGGACACCACTAGAGACTTGTAGAGTTTCATCTTGGTTGGAAAGCTGATGTTTTTGCTCTTCCAAATCTTACCAAGTTTTGTCATTGCCAATGTTGCCATAGCCAGTCTAGACTTGATCTCTGTTGTAGAGTGTCCATCTTTGGTGAGGGTAATACATTTCCTAAATGACTGAAAAACGGAACTTATGTGGCAGTGATTTTTTTTTGAGAGTTGTTGGTTTAAATTTTGGAAGTGGAAGTGTTGCCTGTATAAAGATATTAATTATGTCTATTGCTTCACTGACTAGTGTGTTAGTGAATAAGATTTCTGTGTATAGTGATACTAATATACCATTATTTGGTTTATTGCTTTTGAGAATTTGTATGAAATGGAATATGTGGAATTTATGCTGTATTCACAAGTAAAGTTTAATTATATGGTTGATTGTTTTGGAAATATGGTAAATAGGTTAAGAATATCTGACATATTGGTCTTGTGGCTTTTATTTTTCCATAGATCTAACCTTATTTGTATTTGCCAATGATTTTCAAGTTTCAAAGATCATATTTTACTTATTAGAAACAGTATGTTTATATTTTTTAAGATTATCAGTGGAGTTTCTGTGAATTTTTTTAATTTTCTTTTATCATTTAAGATGGTTGTAAGTTTAGATTTGTAGTCTTTTTCATTTAATATGACATAGGTGTTATTTTCATTATTTTTTTTCCAACAGACAAAATGTCATATAGGCTTTCATATATTCCCTAATATTATCATAAACATGTAGATGTAACATTAAAACTGGTTTATTACATTATTCCCTAATATTATCATAAACTAAGCTATCATTTGATTAAAAAATGTTAAAAAATACAACTTGACAGTTCAGTGTGTGTGTATATATATATATATATATATATATATATATATATATACACTGTCAAGCATCCTAGTATTGAAAAAGTATTAACCTTGTCAATCTACAGACTTACATGTGGCTGGTAACGACTGCAATCATTACACCATGCTTGTATCACTTGTTCAGATGTGAGACTGTGAAGCAATACCTGAGAAAAGGATATTGGAATAGGAGATGCATCTGAAAAATGATTAAAATTTATTTTTTAAAATATAATTCATTTTTATAGGAAATTGATTCATGACATCAGAAATTTTAAAATTTAACTAAAAATATTCTTTAATTTCAGTAATATTTTTTATTAGAAAATGTATTTTATTTGTTTCTATTTACACATTTTTATGAAGAAAAAAAAGAATCATATAAGTAGAGAAATTAGGAATTTAATTTAGAATTTTGATTATAATATTAATAGAATTAATATTATTACTAATTCACTTTTTTGAAAGACCTTCTCAAAAACAACTCCCACATTTTATTATTATTTAGTTTAGTTTATCACAAGGTTAAATGTGATACAGGAATGCTCAAAACATATAAGCAATGTAATGAGTCTGCCATCTGGGAGAAGTCAAACCTCTATGATAGGTACCTCCAATTATTCGCTAAGAATCATATATCATAATGTAACAGGTTTGAAACTTAATAAAAACAAAGTTTCATCATTAAAATTTTTATGTTATTCTTAAGAGGGAAGAACGAAGTATTTTTTAAATATTTTTTAAAATTTTTCTCTTCCTTCGAACACGTTTTAAATTTGGGTCAAATATCTCGTTTTTTTGTGTTAAAACGGTACGACTTGTGGTCATCGCCATTTTTAGTGTAGCAATCTCGGGGGAGAACCCATTAATTTTGGAAATTATTGCAAAAATCAAATAATTGTCTAATTTAAATGAAACTTTCAGAACTTATTCAAAAAGGAATAAATTTATTTTTGAAATTTTTATTTTTAGAAAATCTTGGTAAAAATATTTTTTTTTTACATATTCCCCACCCAAAATTAATTGTATGAAATATTATAGAATTTCAAAAAAATTGCAAATTTTTCTTTTTTCCGTGTATGCAGGACTCCTTGGAGAAATTAAATAACCAATTTTTTTTCACAACTAATGCCAACTTTATAAAAATCTGCTCCAAATCGTAAAAATAAAATTGCAAATAAACTATCTAATTATCAAATTAGATAGTTTTTATTTGCTTTTATAAATAATATCCATTAAGGACATTATTATCTGAAGAAAAAAAATTTCGATGAATAATGAATTTTACAACAATTGTTTGCATTTTCGTAAATTTTTTTCATTTTTTCTTTAATTTTAAAAATGTTTTAAATTCTTTCATGCAGCGACTTTGGTCGGTTATTAGTTTTTAAGTGAAGACTATATTTACTAAGCGAAACTTAAAAGCTTAATATAAATAACCCTGCCAAAACTTTTTACCATAATAAAATTTATTTTTTTTGTCCGTTAAGATGTTTGATTTTTCTTGGTATGGTATCTCGCAAGTGATATTACAGTTAAAAGGTCACGTGTTTCACGGCTTCTCTCCCCCAATAGGGATAGCCCCTTGACATATAACTGGTCAATTGCCGGCAATTGTCATTCATTTCACTTCCGTGTTTCATCAACCCTATCTTCAACACTCAACAGGCTTGTGTGGAAATCATCCCTTCAAGATTTAAAAGGGATTTTTTTAATTTCGTTTAAATTTCAATTTTGCTATGCATGTATTTATTTTAATTTTTAGTCCGTGTCATACATCAAGTAATTTATTTTTTAGTTAAGAAAATAATTTAGGCCTAATTTTGTTATTTATTTTTAAGTTTCTTTTTCTTATTTGTGAATTTTATTTTTATAAAAAAAAATATGGTTGAAACTTTCAAACCATTTTTTAGAAAAAAAATGGTTGCCTTTCAAGTTGAAATGCAACCCTTTATTTTATTTAAAACCTAATGTTTAATTTCCTTATTTTTAAAGCATTTTCTTTTCATTTAAAATTAGTTTTTCTTTTCTCAATTTAATTGTGGTCTCCACTAATTCCTGATACCTAAGCTTATTTTTCCTGCTTTTTTTTGTTTTTTTAATGAATTTCAAAACAAAATTAAAAATCTTTCTTGAAGTATTCATTTTTTTTAACTTTAATTGAAAGCTGAAGCTACAATAAATTTTATTTAATATTTCCAATTTCCAGTAAGCCAAATCTGGTTAGTGTTACAGAAATTAGTGATTGGCATAGGGATTTTCCAGTAAAAGCAATAAAAAAATATTGCAATTTTTTTTTTCTTTAATTTTCAAATTGCAATATTTTTATGAAACATTTTTGAAAATTGTCATTTACAGCTAAAATACTAATTTAAGTACTTTTAAAAATTTAATAAATAAAATAACTTTAACAATTCATAAACATCAAAACATAAAGAATAAAATGAAAAAATAGGATCTTAAAAAATATAAATATTAAAGTAGTGTTATCTCTATCATTTGTGATAACAGATAATTATTTTTGTTAATTATAACTCAGTTATTAAATTAAAAAAGTGAATTATTGAGATAATATTAATAAAATTATATTTCAGTTGTAAAAATGTAATAACTGAGTGAGACAGAAGTTATAATAATTTTTATTAATTATTATTAATAATTTAAGAAATATTAATATAATTTGTAGTTAATATAATTAATAATATTACATCTCAGTTATTTAATTAAAAATGTAATAACTGATAATATAGTAATTAATAAAATTATTTATCATAATTATCTACCATTAACTACACAATTTTAAAAATTTTATAGTATTTTATTTTAAAATTATTATAAGAAAGCATCTTCAAAATTACAGTTTAAAAAATCAGTAATATATTAGATAATTGCTTAAATTATTTTAAATTTTAAACATTACTTAGTAGTAAAAAAAAAAAACAATAGAAACCATTCTTACTTAGAATTCGAAAATTGTATCAGCTCTGGTCCACCATACTAAACCTGTCAACACATGCGGCCATCAAATTATCGATGGAGACTCGAGAAAATTCAAGACTCCATGGTGAAGAAATGCTTGTCTAGAAAATTTCATGGTGTAAGTAAGTGATGTTTGTTTTTAAACAGATTAATTAAACTTTAAATTTGCTAATTTTACGAAAGTAACGTTTCAGAAATCTATGTTATTTTAGGCGGGTTTTTAAAACAAAATTATTTTTGTTTACATTTCTCTAAAAAAAAAATAAACATGGCCGTTTCGATTATTTTTTCAGAAAAATTGATTTAAAATCATTATAATTTCTAGTTGAAATACAGTACAGTGTTTTGTTTTCTGAATTAGAAAATTTAATCCTTTAGCTTTCAATTGAAACTGTGGGAAAGCTTCAAAAACGATTTTTTATTTATGAAAAATACACTTAAACCTTGAGTATACCGAATTTTTTGGAGGTACCTACTCTATGATGACCCCATCTGTTACCTCATTCACAGAAAACATTAGGTAATAAAACAAAAAATTACAAAAAATCTTAAGAACAAAAATAATCATGAATATAGGTAGACTGTTTTATATTTTAAGTTATTGCTATAGCACAATGGTTAGCAAGTACCACAGGATATAACTAGTGGATACTAACAGGTACTGCATTGTTATGACCTTGTACCAAACTAAGTTAACCCTAGTAAATATTAACTGCTCTATATTTAATGCACAAATCTAACTCTGTTTAGCCTCTACCTACAAATATTTTACATAATCAGATGATAATTAATCAGAAAGCCAATCTTATGATAATATTTGTACACATGAGTGAGTAATGGCTGAAAAATTCACTTCTCAAAATCTAACAAAATGACTAAACAACAAAATTTTTTTAAAAGAACTTTTAGCACATCTATATTTCAATCTTTTTTATGAATATAAATTAATTTTAAAGTTGCCATGGTATTTAAATTTTTAATAGTTAAAACTGTGTATACTTTTTAGCAAAATAGAAACTAAACTGGATTTCTCGAGTGTTGTTTTTCACTCAAGAATGAAATGTGTAAAATAACATGTAAAATAAAAGTTCTATATTACGTTAAAAACAGATTTTATTTTAAATATGTAAGTAGTAGTAAAAATGACTTGAAGTCTATAAAATCTAATACATCTCTTGACAAAGGCCACAACCTTTATTTACAATAAGCCTTGAAACTTTACTGAAAATATTTCCTTATTCAGAATTTGTACTTATTTTAAAAACAAACTGCATATCAAAATCCTTTTACATTTTTAGAATTATAACACTGGTTAAATATTTAATAGATTATTTTTATTATGAAATCTGTTAAATGAAAATTAACTCATAGATTTATACACAACCTGCAGAAAGAGTTGGATAGGATAAGTTAGTGAGTGTAGAATGTGTTTCTCTCCGTGTTTTATGACCACAACGGCATCGAAGTACTGTCTCTATTTGGGTCCCAAATAATCGACTAATGATGGATATCTCTCTTTCATTTGGTTGAAGGACACTGAAATATATGAAGTCAATGATTTATTAACATTTCTAGATGTTAAGAATTATTACATTTTTAGATAAGTTTAAGAGACTTGAGAAAAAATGCAGTTACTAAATCTTACTACATTTTCAGTGAAGCCATTCCAATGTTTGTTTACATTACCTATAAACAAATTAAGAATAGTGATTGTTCTCAAAATAACTTCTACAACTACTAACTAAAGTGATCTTAAAACATGTAAAATAATGTTTTAATTACTGACTTTTTATCTTTTTGTAATAGAGATAAGCATTTAACTCTGATACATGTTGTTGCCAATGACATTTCTACACATCAACAAAAGGTAGACAATTCATTTTGAGATATAACAATTCTCAAATATAAATGGTAAATAAAACTGTTTTAATCTAAATGCGTCCTTTATTATTATTCTTGAATAAAAAAAGCACTAGGTCAATACTGATAAGAGAATTCCTGGCATGAGGTGTTGTCATTATTTACATTATTTATAATCAGACCAATATCCTCATCTTTGTTGTTATTATCACACTGTTTTAATGATTGTGCCTTCTGTCCTTCTTCACTTGTCTGTTAACCTTTGACACTCTACATCATTCACTATTTTCCTTTCCACTGCATTGTTTTTCAAGGTTCCTCTACTGCACTAATAAATTTCAGTCATGATCACTTTCTGTTGACATAGCAGCATATGACAACTGCAAAATTATTACACTATTATTCATTCCTCTGAGACATTTGAAATGGCAGGATAAAATTTTTGCATTACAAGCAAAATTCAGTGCTAAAAATAATTGCAATTCTCTTGATGGTTAGCAAAGTTTTAATTGACGTTAATAATTAATGATTTAATATCTAAACAATCATTACAAAGGTACATTTTGAAAAAAGAAGGAACACATGAATGGATAATTAACAATTACTATCTTGCAGACAAACGCCTAAAACTTAACCTAGGGTTAACTTAAAGAAATTCCAAATAATTATAACTAAAGAAATAAAAACTGAGAAAATTAAAACTTTCATAAATAATTTTATTTATGAAAGTTTTACAAGGTATTTAACAATCATTAACTAATTGTGAATTAGTTACATATTTTTAAAAGACACAGCTTATCAATGTTTTTTCATCAAATCTTTTTTTCCTACCTTTCTGTTGATGGTTTTTCCGTAGATAATTCCACAGATTCTAATTCATCACTGTGACTCTCTGATGCTGATTCTTCATAGCCAGGGACCATGAAAAATCCAGATGTATCTTGATGACAATTGTCCATAATACTTAGTTCTTCTGGAACAACATCAACATAAATTGGTTCTCTAATACAAGTTTCCTGAAAATAATTATTGATGAGCTTACCTTAAACAGGAGTTAATTTTATGTTGTTCAGAAAATAATGTCTGAACTCAATGATGTAACTGAACATGAATTTAACCAAAAAAAAAAAAAAAAAAAAAAGAATCTATGCATTTAATTAAAAAGAAACAAATTCTTATTTTGTTCATTATCCAGAAATTTAAAAAATTCTAGAAACAACTTTGTAAAACATTTTTTGCAAACATTTTTTACTGCCACCCTTTCCTACTGTAAGTTATGATATTGCTTAAAATGTAACTGGTTGTTATATCATGAAAGAACATGACTGAAATGGCGGGTTTTTTTTTCAACTCACTATAGTGCATCATTTGAGAAAAATGTGGTTGAACACACTGTAAATGTTTCAAATCCCTTTGATTTAAGTAATGCTGTTTTTTTCTGTTTTTTACAATATTCATCTTAACATTTTCACTATTGCATTATTATAGCATTGTTATCTGGCTGTACTTTTGCATAGTAGGCCATCTTAGGAAAAATATTAAATTGCCATTTATTGAAAATGAATGACTATAAAGCTGCAGGCAGCAAATTTGGGCTTAATTGGATACTCTGCAATACAGACTAAAATGATGAACTCAACACACAATATAATAAAATTAAGTCACAAAAAGTATTTTTCATAAAGTACAGCTATTAAGATTAAATATTAGTAAAGTATTGTAAATAGGTTATGGTTGGTACTTGAATCTACATTTACACACTTATTTGATCAAGCTCATCTTTGATATAAATAATTTAAAAATCAAGTAGTTTTGAAATACTACACTTCCAGCTTATAAATATCATTTTTGTAAAACTCAATAAATATTGCATAAAAAAACATAACATTCTTTTTTATCACTAAATCATCTCAGTGTCAATATGAACAAAATACTTTTGAACATCAAAAAAAATTGTTCTTGTAAAGTTCACCATATTACATACTGAATGAACTTGTTGATGGAGAAACCGCTGCCAGTTCTGGATGAGCCGAGTCAAATTTACTTTGCCTTGAAGTTGGTCATGGTCACCCAGAATTAGTCCAAGTGCAGCAGCTTCAGGAATGGTACGGAATGCTCGAAGAAAGTTATTCGCCTTTCATAAAGAGAATAGATCAATAGCAAAATAGTATCATACTTTAGCATTGCAATAAAGCATGTGTGCATATGTTTGGTTATGATGCATAAATGATTTTAAGGTTTTATCATAATAAACATTTCACTTATTCTGTTTTTACCTTTCAATATGAATCTTCTTTTATGTAAGCAATGTAAGCTCTTATCAGCTGTGCAGTTTTTAAGTTTATAATTTAGAATAAATCTATTTCATACACCATCTTTATAGATAAGAGTTTATTATTTCATATTAAAGATTAACAAATTAAAGATTGTGGAATAAAACAGAAATATACAAAATTCTTATTTAATTATCAAAGAAAAGCAGTTATAAAATGATAAAAGAAGGGTTTATTTTATATAGCAATAAATATATAAATAAATATAACTATTTTGCAAAAAATGCTTGGTTTTCATTAAATGTAAACAAGAATTAATACTTTACATATAATTATCAATTATTGAAAAATATTTCTGTATTGTGTGTAATATTAAAAATTTAATTCTACAAAACATTAGAATAATAAACAAAAAACATTAGAATAATAAAGCTTGATTTAATTAAAAGAAGCAAAAATTATTAACTATATTCTGCAAATGTTTTAATTATTGTTTTCAGGTATTATTATTGAAAGTTATTTTTCTGTTTTCAATCAATAGCTGTAGAGAAACATGAATAGATGTGAATGCAAAATAATTTTTACATATCTTTAACATCCATCTGTTGAACACTGAACTGAAAATAAATTTGGCTTTATAGTAAATGGTTTCTAAAGTGGTATATATCTACAAAGGTTTTGCTTGATTTGCTAACATATTTCAAGGAACTAACCTGACATGTTTGACCTTTTTGTTCATCCAACATATGAAAAAGGAATCCTAATTCACAGGCTAAGCAAAATTCACACCCACATAGATGAGATTTCATAGTGCATCGAAGAGGCTCAATAAAATACAGAACCTAAAAATGCAAAAAGAATTTTAAGTATTATTGTTGCTTACATTAAAAGTACTTTAAAACTTACCTCATCAACTCATCTACATTTTCTCTTTCATTAAAAAATTTCTTATTGTAGTAAATATATATATATGCACATTACTTATTAATCAATGGATGAAATTAAAGTAAACATAGTTTAGAAAACAGTTTTTGTTGGAAAACTATTTGAAGAGGTAACCCAAACAGTTTATGAGCAATAAAATTTTTTTGTATTTTGTATAGAAGCAAAATTTTACCTTGTAATATTGTAATAAGCTGAAAATTAGTGAACATTACCTGTAACATTCCATTGCAATAAGCATTAGGAATCTGTGTTTCTAAACCAGCAAAATAAGTCTTATTGTAATAGCGGAATTCAAAGTCTTCCAAGCCCAGCTTTGAGTACTTCATTTCAACTTTCCGGTAAATTTTTGGAATATTTATGTGAGTGTCATCTGCAAAAATAAATATAAAACTGAAAACCTGAAAATTTTAAATGGAGACTTTAAAACACTAAAGACTTCCAACCTTTAAAAAAATGTCCATAAGCAGAGCATAAAACTAAATAAATTTCACATTTTTCTATATATCTTTTTTAGTAATTCATTTAATTCTTTGTATTTTTATATAGAAATGATGATTATTACATATCACAAAAATCTTAGTTTTGGATAGATTTTGAGAGTATATTGTAAACCAATGCATAAGACAAAAACTATCAATCAAAGCAATACTACTTCATAGTTATTAATAAACATTAAGCATTTTAATTATCCACTAGTGACTATAGTAAGAAAAAAAAAAATCAAATTTTAAAAATAAATCCTGCTGTCATGGTCTTTGTTATTTATAGCAAATACCAAACATGTATTCACTTATATAAGAGATTTTCAGACTATCACTTATTGTAAAATAATCATAACAGTCAAACAGGAGTGGATTAACTATCTGAAATTAGATCAGTTACCGATCTTATCAGAGATCAACTGTGAAGTAAAGAAAGTTAAATTGTTGCAATTTCCACTTCTGAATTGTGTTAACTAATGTCAACAATTATAAAATTCAACCAATTATACTGTATAATTTCAATTACCTAATCAAAATAACATAACATACAACAGAATAGCACAAGTGTCAATGAACAAAAGTTTACTAGCTCACACAAATATACAAGTCTTAATAAAATAAATTTTAGTTTCACTTTTATAATAATCCTGTTATTGAATGCAGGTGTAAAATCATAAAAATCATATAGTGAATTTTCATAGATACATTCCTAATTAATTTTTATGACTTAGGATCAATTTTGGAAAAAAAATGCTATTATTAGAATTTTTTTATACCTAAGGGAATTTCAAAAGTTAATATATGAAATCTCACAAACAATTTTAATTTTATGAAAACTGACTTATCATTGTTGAATTTATATAACTTTAGTTGTAAATAATGTAGCAAAATAATTCTAGCCAGTTGTATAATCTTCTTTAACATGTACTCTCTATCTGATTCAATTTCTCTTTCTATGCTTGAGCATTTGTTACACAACAAAACAGGACATCATAATGAAATTTTGCTGGTGCAAAAATTAAATTAAAAAAATTAAAAAATTAAAATGATATTAACTTGGAGGATTAAAACAATTTCCAATTAAATTGGGTCACCAATTTCCAAGTATTTAGTATTGATAAAAAACATCTGTCCAAGGGAAATAACTCTAAATCTATTAACTTAATTGCAGAGTAGTTTCATAAAAAAATAAGAAATAGAGAAGAATCCTTGACTTGTCTGCCCTCTTTTCTGTCAACTATAGTAGCATACCAATGACAACAACAATTCTTGCATTCCAGTCAATTTTGATTTTCAAAAATTTAAATGAAATGTTAATCGTCATCCCCCTCCTCTTCTTAATTCATGTTTTTATCGTTCTTTCTCCTTACTAATGTATTTTTTCTCCTATTCTCTCACACTTAATAATTAGCAGTTCCAAATAACTATAAATAAGAAATGAGCAAAATAAATTTAAAATAAAACTTTTAAGAGGAAACTATGGTTTTCATTGCAATCAATCCAGGAATGATACGTGATTTGAAAACAAGACTTCATCAGCCATAAAAAGAAGAAATTTTTATCTAAACTGCAGAGATTTACTTCTTTTCTGTAAGAGTAGAACAGTTATAATAATAGTGGTAAGACAACCTGATTACCTCCCCTGCCTTATGATTTGTATAAATAAGTCACACCGTCTTAGCCAAAATGGAAAAACACTTCAGTTACATTCAATAAAGGCACATTAAGCCAAACTAAACCCCAAGTTTTCATTACAATTTATTGAATTTAAAAATAGAAGGTCTCAACTTGGACTCTGAAGACCCATGGCTGCTATAAATGTACAATACCCCTCTCTTTTCGAAAACTTAACCAAAAACTGTAAACCAGTGGCCACCAAATCTCAAAAATATTCTCTTGAAGACAAAACATTTATTTAAGTAGAAATATCAATGAGAAGGAATAATCAATGAAAGCAGATCTCCACGGAGGGCACAAGTATTAATAACGTCCTCTAATAATAATAAAAAGAAGGATGGTCATAGACTACTCTCAAACTATAAATACCTGATGCATACCCTATACACTTGTAAGATGATAAACGAGATCACCAAATACAGAATATTTAACACATTAGACCTAAGGAGTTGCTTACCACCAAGTAGCTACAGACTCAAAAGATGAGCCTCTTATATGGCTTTTGAAGCCTACAGACAATTTTATCAGTTCCGACAGATTTCGTTTTGGGCCACTAATGGGGTTTCCAGTTTTCAGGGGGTCCTTGATAAAATAATTCTTGAAGAAAAATTACAAGGCACCTTTGTCTACATCAGTGGTTTTCAACCAGGGTTCCACCAGTACAGTCCAGGGGTTCCGCAATTTCTAAATTAGAACACGAACAAATAAACAACATGTTAAATTCAAATTCGAAAATCTATTTTATTAACCCACAAACTGTCAGACGGCCGATTAACTGTTGTTATTTTTTTCAATTTCCAAATCATCGAAACTCTTTTACAGATTTTACAACCATGGATAGATTTGTGAAAAAACGCAAGACAGATGCGGATGAAGACACACAGGATCTGAGGCACTCTTTTGAAGCCGAAACTACTACCAGCAATGCTGCCTCATCGAAATCAAGAAATGGTGGAATTAAACTACAACTAAAAGTTCGTCAATATTGTGAAAACTACATAGCTCTGGGATTTACTTGGACTGGAAACCCAGAGTGCCCTTCACCTTTGTGTATTATTTGTGGGGAGAAGCTGGCTAACAGTGCTATGGCACCAGCCAAACTGAAACGACATTTAGTAACTAAACATCCAGAGTTGTCGAGCAAAGATGAACAATATTTTCAACGACAAATGTTAATAAAAGGCAGGTTTCTATGTTTGCAAAAGTTCAAGTTGAGTGACAAAGCACAAAAGCAAGTTATGCTGTGGCGGAGATAGTTGCAAGAAAAATGAAATCTCATACCATCGCTGAAACTGTAATTTTACCTGCATGCCAAGAAATAGTGAGGATAATGTTTGAGAGGATGCTGTATCAGAAGTAAATGAAATTCCACTTTCTGACAACACAATAAGTAGGCGATTCAAGACATGTCAGGAGACATTGAATGCAATCTTAAATCAGAAATACTGAAACATAACTTTTTTTGCACTTCGTTGATGAGAGTACGGACATTAGTGGTAAAGCACAACTCCTTGTATTTGTTCGATTTATTGATGATGAAGCTATTGTAGAAGACTTCCTGTGTCTCAAAGAATTGCCAGGGACAACGAAAGGACAAGATGTATTTGATGTTTTGAATTCATATTTAGAGTATTGTGGATTAAACTTGAAAAACTGTGCTGGTATTTGTACAGATGGTGCCCTGCAATGACAGGATGTCTTAAAGGCTTTGTCTCAATCGCACAAAAAAAAAAATCCAAATATTATCCATACTCATTGTTTCATTCATAGAGAAGCACTAGTAGCTAAAACTCTTGGATCTGAACTAAAATCTGCATTGGATATGGTAGTTAAAATAGTTAATTACATCAAGATGAGGCCACTTAAATGTCGACAGTTTGAGAAACTTTTGTGGGTATGGAAGCAGAACATTCCACCTTAATCCAGCACACAGAAATACGATGGTTGTCAAGGGGGAAAGTATTGTCTCGTTTTTACGAATTAAGAGAAGAGTTATTGACCTTTTGTTTGCAAGAAAAACCTGAAAGACTTTGTAGAATGTTTAAGTAATGGCCATTGGTGTTCGGGTTAGCATATCTTGCCGATATATTTCATGAACTAAACCTCTTGAACAATAGCATGCAGGGCAGGAACGAAAATATCTTGTCTTCTACTGACAAAATAAATGCTTTTCAGAAGAAATTGACAATATGGAAGAAACGCATAGCTGCAGGAAATTTGGAAATGTTTCCATGTGTTTTAAAAGGAATTGTCAAGAAATTAGGCTACTGATTTTGAACCATTTGGACACTTTGTTAACAAATCTTGACAAATATTTTCCATCAATATCTGTTGAGCAGTATGACTGGATTAGAAACCCATTTGTAGAATTTGAGCCGCCTGAAGAACAGTTCACATTAACAGAAGAAGAAGAGCTTGCCAGTGTTCTAAATGACAGGACATTAAAGTTGAAGCATTCTGAACTTAACCTGAATGCATTTTGGTTGCTGGTTGAAAAGGAATATCCTGCAATTGCCCAGAAAGCGCTACAACTTCTTGTGCAATTTTCAACCTCCTACTTGTGTGAATTTGGATTTTCAGCTATGACAACCATCAAGCACAAGAAACGAGCTCAATTGCGGTCTGTGGAAGATGAACTTCGTGTGTCTGTCAAAACACGACCCAATCTTAAAGAGTTGTGCAAGAAACACCAGGCTCAAGTTTCCCATTGACTTTTTTCATAAGAATAAATGTAATCTATTCAAACATGTACACTTTTGTTTTCATTTCATTTACAATACTCTGAACATGAATATTTTCATTTTATTACAAATTGCATTTTTTTGTATAATTAATTAAATGCTGTTTTTTGCATAAGACAACCAAATTATTGCACAGGGGTTCCTCGAGCCAGTGGAATGTTTCCATGGGGGTTCCACTCCAGCAAAAAGGTTGAAAAGCACTGGTCTACATAGATAATGTGTCAGTGTGCAGCCATGACTGGGCCGATCACAATCACAACCTAAAACAGTTTTTGGTGGCTGTCAAGAAATATAATCTTATACTCAACCATGATAAAACTTCTTATAGGTTGACAACCATCAGACTACTTGGATATATTGTGGGTAAAGGAATCATGAAACCAGATCCTGAATGGCTAAGACCACTGCTAAAACTACCTATTCCCAACACCATAGCTGCCTTGAAATGAACCATGGGTACGTTCACTCATTATTCTCAATGGATAACCTCCTTTTCTGAAAAAAATACACCCACTTGCGAAAAATACTAAATTTCTTTTACCTTCTTCTGTCGTTAAAGCCTTTGAGGAGGAGTTAAAAAGAGATATTGCCAACTCTCAGCCATCACTTTGGTGAATCCTGACATAGAGACCTACACTTCCAACTACACCATAGCTGCCGCATTAAGGAAACCCAGGCGCTTTGTAGTGTTCTTTTTCAGAACATTGTCAAAATCTGAGCTAAGACATTCAGCTGTCAAAAAGGAGGCTTATGCCATAATCAAGGTACTAAAAAATAGCGATATTTCTTAATTGGTCACTGCTTTAAATTAATCACTGACCAAAAGTCAGTCTCTGATATGTTTAATCTTAAGACATCAAGCAAAATAAAAAATGAAAAGAGATGGATGGTAGCGCTTTCCAGTTTTTCATTTGACGTTTTCTACCGATTGGGAAAGGAAAATGCAACAATGGATGTGTTGTCAAGAGCATGTGGATCAATAAAGAGCAACAAAGATCTACAAAAAGTTCATAATGAACTCTGTCATCAGGCATCATGAGGATGATGTGATTCAAAGCTGGAATTTACCTTTCTCAATTGAGGATGTGAAATGAATAACAAATGGTTGTCAGATTTGCGCTCGAATAAAACTAAAGTTCTACCAAACCCAAACTGGGAACCCTAATAAAAGCTACACAGCCATTACATCTAAATCCCAAAACAAATATCTACTATCATTGATGAGTACTCGTGATTCCCTTTCCATATGAAGTGTAACAATGGTCATACTCTGTCTTTGCTTACTTGTTCTCAATATTCAGAGCACCAGCTTATATTCATACAGATTGTGAGACCTCTTTTATCTCCAACCAACTACAAAAATTCCTATTGGTACAGGGAGTGGCTGTAAGCCAGACTACCCCATACAACCCTCAAGGGAATGGACAGTGTGTACTATGGCATAACATGGAAGACTGTACAGTTAGCACTTGAAAACCAAAACCTATTAGGCATTGGGAAGTCGTAATAAGTGAGGCTCTATACACTATAAGAACGCTATTGTGTATAAGAACTAATGCAACACCTCACAAAAGATTTTTAAAATTTCCAAGATGAAGTTCCCTCCCTACTTGGCTCTCACAGCCAGGTACTGTTTTACTTAAAAACCATGTTTGACAAAGCAAGTCTGATTCTCCTGTGAGTAAGGTAGAACTGCTTGAGGCAAACCCACTATATGCGCACATCCAGCACCCCAACAATCAAACGTTTCCTTTAGAGATTTGGCCCTTGCCAGCAAGTTATCAAACCAAAGGGAGGAGCAGCTATTTCCTGAAGCAATATCTCTCCCTTTTGATAGTAACGACAACACAACACCATTGGATTCTCCTGAGGAACAAGGACCTGATAGTGATGACTCAGAGATCAACACCAGAACAGCTCTCTGAAAATGAAAGCATACTACCACAGACTCTGATAATCAGCTTTCAGAATCAGAGCACCCCACTCCAAGAAGGAGACAAAAACAATATGAGACAAAATACTTCTGGCCAATTGTTCCCACAACACCTGAAAACCCAAATCAGCTGCCACTGAGACGATTTCAGAGAACTGTCAAGAGACCCAGTCACCTGGATGATATTGTGTTGGACTAGGAGAAAACCAAGCCAGGGAGAATGTTGTAAAATAAACTGATTACCTCCCCTGTTTTATGATTTGTATAAGACACACCATCTTAGCCAAAATGCCAAGACTCTTCAGTTATGTTCAATAAAGGCACATTAAGCCGAACTAGACTCTGAGTATTCATTATAATAATAAAATGAAATCTTAGCTACAGTAAAATTAATTAATAAAAGTTCTGACCTCGACCAGCAGAAGACTCTGGAATATGAGATTTTTTATTGGCATTCTCGCCTTTCAAATCATAAGGCACTTGATTTCTGCGAGTAGTGCCTGGGTTTGGTGCATACCCAACATTGTGTCGCATCTTCATGGTTCGTAACAATTCTGGTTCAACTGGTTTGGGAGTTCTAGAGCAAAATGACAAAAAACAGATCCATTAAATTTTTTTGGTTTCTAAAGTAGGAGATAACAAGATATAATTTTTTTTTTTAGATATCAAGAACAAATTTAGGGGAAAGACATGATGAAATGGAAAAAGTTATTGTGACATTTCATTCTTTCTAAAGTATCTAGTATTCTAAAGTGGAGAAATAATTGAATTCTATTTAAAATAAACATCTTTATCAAATATTTCTTTGCCTTGAAATACATGTTAGGCAGCTAATCTTGCAGACTATACTACTGTAATGAGTTCAATCCTCACTGAGTACATCACACTTATGACTTTGTGCCAGACAAAGTTAAGCTTAGTAAATGTACCACTTTATCATCAGGTCAAAAGGAAGAGAACTGTTTGGTGTTATCACAGTACAATTAAACAAATATCATTTCATATTTTAGGAACAAAAATAGAAGAAAAATATTAAATGCTAAGCAAAAAAAGATCTACAAAAATCAGAGGAAATAAGAAATGGTAACAGTCATTAACAACTTGCAACATAGCATGTACAGGCAGAGATCACTCATGGATAGCATTTACAGGTAGAGATCACTCATAGTCTTGTTGAGAGAAGTATAGATTAATGGTTTTCAGGTACTTTAGAAATTTACTGACTGTTTCTGTTCAAATTTTAAACTGGCCATTATTTTCTAAACAACTGAACTATTAGTTTCTTTTGCTTAATTTAATGTCAATTTTTGTTAATATTTTTCATTACATAAAAATTATTGTGACGATAAATTTGTTAATGCATTTCATTTTTATTTAGTCTTTGTAAAAATTGGTATTAACAGTTGCATGAATATATGATTAAAGTTTAAAAAAAATAAAAAAAGAACATAATTTAAATCATTTTATTTTGTATATCAGAAATAATGGACAAAATAACTTTTGAAAAATTTATTTTCAGAAACACAAATAACTGAGCTTTTCTGCTTGAAATGAAAAAATACGTTAAATGAGTTATCTCCTCCTTTTTCACTGTTAATACATAAAAAAAATATGTTTAATAAAACTTAAGGATTAAAATTTTAAACTTATAATACCAACAAGTCTAAACTCATTAGGCATCTACCAATGAATTAAAACAAAGATCTTACCGATAGACTTTACGACAAAGACGAGCTGGCCAATCTGAAAACAGTGTTCCTTCACTAGGATAAGTCATTGGGATGCTTGCAAAGGGAGCAAGTTCATCATTAATATGCATAGGATTAAATGATTCAACCTAAGGAAAAAATAGAACAACATTTAATTATATATAGATAATTTAGACAACTAAAAAAGATTGAGTTAACAGATCTTGTGACACATCATAGGGGCCTTGTGATCCCAAAGGAGTTTAATCAGGGCTCTCTCTAGCTCCATTAATTTGGCATATAGCAATGGGATTACAGACAAATACTAAAAGATAAGGGAGCAATTGTGTAATGTAACCTTCGAACTACTCTTCTAAGGAAGATTTCTTTAAAACCTGATTAACTGCAGCCTTGGACTTCTTTTGCACCTCTAACCAATTCTTCTCCAACTGGAGGTTAGGACTGAACCAAACAAGGAGTACCTTGCATGATCCACTCATTCAATAAACGATCTGGAGGATGGACAACCTATCCATGAGCCCAAATAAGCCAACAGTTTCATCACAGTTTATTTTTACCTATCACTGTCTTATACATTCTGCTTTCTTTGCTTACCTCTTCAATTTCAGTGTAGCTTGTTATAAGTGGAGCTTAGCTGGAATACCTGGCTGAGATGGTAGCACCACCTAACTCGGGTCTGTACAAGACCAGGTTTGCCCTCAACTTGTACAGGTAGTGGAAAGCAGATAACCTTGATGAATTTGAACTGGACAAAATGAAAAGCTTTAATCTTATACCATTGACTTCTAAAAATGTTCTGGCAGTCATATAAAGCAGGTGGATCAAGGATAAAAAAAGTTTGGCATGAAGATGAGTGTTGGTAAGATAGTATCCAGAAAATGATGGGAAACACTTAAATGTTTTAAACTTATTTAAATTGATCAGTGCAACGTGATCAATTTCTCCAGGATCATGCATATTAAATCCTACTCTTCACAGAACAAGTCTGTTCAGGGGCAATATTACACAGCCAAGATCTTAGCAAATTGATTAATTTGCTAAGATCTTGGCCCAAATCTTTACCTTTTTTGCATAAAGGCTGAAAATTACTAATTTCATTTCCATTATTTTTGTCCTTGCGTAGCAACTTTACAAATCCCCTTGTGAAGTTTGGGGAATATTTCTTTTCTTCATCCAGTTATTAAAAATCAGTGACAGCAAGAGGACAAATTGGTACAATAATTCATAAGGGAAGGCATTTATTGCTGAAGTCTTGTCCATCACAACCTATTTCAACACTTCTTAAATCTCTGATAGCTGATTCAATCACCTCAAGGCAAGAAAAGTCAACTCAATAGGTGTCAAAATTAGCAGAGCTCTCTCTGGGCTACTGGTGAAAAGCTTCTGGTTGTAGTTATGAAATTCCTCAGATACCATTGTATTCAAATATCATCTATCTGGTGATGTGACTATGTTTATATGCTAAACTGTAACATTCTAAAATTTTGCACACCATTCTGCAGCCATATTTGTTACCTCAGCAGATATTCTTTTTAATTTTGCTCTATTAGAGCTTGATACTTCTTGTTAAGCAAGGTCAGCTCTGCTTTATCTACTTTGCCTAGATCTCCCAATTTGACAGCCCTGTCCACTCTATATTTGGCTGCTCTTAATCTATAATTAACAGTGTGGTGCCATTCATGGTGAAATTGTGACAAGTTTTGTGACTATGTTCTCTGATTGTATGTCATTCACTGCTCCTGTGATGACATCCAAGGTTGATTGTGTTTGCACATACACCCAACTTGCTATGTGCACATGTTCGTCTCCTTATTGCCCGTGATTGCTTTCAACAAATAATAATAATGACAGCAAATGTTTTTAAAGACACTAGTTGGGAGTTCACAACAATATGATTTCTCACTTAGCCGGCTTATCTTTTCCTTCGGCTGAACTGCTATCTTCCTAATTTCAGTTGGTCTCTTCCTCACTGGCCCCTCCTGATTCCTCACTACTGGTCCTTCTGTCACTGGCCAGCTCTAACTCTTCTGATCACCTACCCTCACAACTGAATCCCCTTTCTCTTTGACTTCCTGCCTCTCTCTGCTTATATGGATAATCACTGGGTCCCACTCCACTCAATACACTTGTGTTCCAGAAAGTTTGAAAGCACCCCAAAGCCACATGGGTGATCAAATCTTCAAAAGACTACTTTTATGACTATCTAAAATCATTGATAAAATTTTTATGTTTTCCAATTCAAAGGCAGCTGGAGACATAAACCCACAAAACACTGACACTTAAGCTGACTCAAAGATATACTTGAGACAAAATTCCTATGAAACTCAGATAACTAAGTGGACTTCAAAGAAATTTATCTACTTATCTTCTAAAGATGTGTGAGTAATCATAGTGTTACAACAGCAAAGGACCTGAAACTACTTTCCAAATTGTTCAGTCAATACAGTCTCAACAATTCCCACCTTCAGATGAGTATTAATTAGTCCTAAAATCCCTTACATCCAACAAAGAGGTGTTGATTTTCCAGTATCCAACTACCCTAGGCTTAACCCTAAGTTTATCCAATGGTTCAAATAAACTATATCATAAAAATTTGGACAAAGTTCTAAGTTGACCATCCTAACAAAAACAGAAGCCACCTTTATTTGTTCATTCTACTCTCTTTGAATGATTATTTCAAAATTCTGCTGATGAATTTTTGAAAAACGTTTACATTTCAATGAATTTAAGAACCCAGTGTCTATCATCCCTGTGATCTAAATCAGGATCAAGTATAGTCTCCAAACACTACCTGCTATGATGATGCAATAAAGAGATCCAGTGAAAAATGTCAGCTTGCTCTTTGCTATCATTAGGGATATAAACCCCAATGAAACAAAACACTATCTTGTGGTAACATCCAAAATGCAGTATGTCTAGTGGATCTGTTAAGGCATGTGAACATGTTACACTTAGGTGTACTCAACAAGAAACACTATTATAAATAAGTTGAGAAATTAAACATCTTTAATAGAATATTGTCAGTCACTTGCAATATAATGCATCTTTTGCAAACAAAATATAACCATACTGAGGTGCTGAAGGTCATGAACAGGTCCGGCCCTCTTAAACTTAGAACCAGAGAGCCATAATCAATTCACAGGTGACAAAAAATATGCCAGAATTTAGAATACCAATGGCATTTCCTATGGACCCTGTTGTGATGAAATAACCTGACTTCCCCATTCACCATAAATGGACGTTCCGGTGGCCGATATAGTTCGACCACAGTAAACAGTCGAGAGGGCGACAACAGAGAGCGACAACCAAGGTCTTCGTTGACTACACCATTCGGTTAGCTTACTCCTACTCTGTCTCTGTATTTTGACATTCCTACATTCCGATATAAAAGTATTATTATTTAAACCACCACTGGGTTTACTTTGTTATTATATCTTTTACAGATATAACGACTGGCGACGAGATATAACAGTTGGCAACGAGGATTCAAACTTACACGGAAAAAACTTTTCAGACGCCTAACTATAACAGTTGGCTAACGAGGATTCAAAAACTTACACGAAAAACTTTTCGACGCCTAACTATAACAGTTGGCGAACGAGGATTCAAACTTACACGGAAAAACTTTTAGTACGCCTAACTATAACAGTTGGCGGACGAAGGATTGTGCAAGGTACTTACTTGAAAAAAAAAAATATATATACGCTGAACGGATTTTCAAAAGCGGAGTCACAAGTCAAAAGGAAACTTTTTGAAAAGTAAGAATTTTTACTGTTAAATTGTGATTTGAAAAATATATATTGAACCGCGACTCAAATACGAGCCGGTCTAACAATAATTATTCAAGTAAAAATTACGGGTTGTAAAAATATTACGGCTGTAAGTTGTTTGTTGAGAGTTTAACTGTCTAAAAAAAAAAAAAAAAAATTTTTTTGTTGTTTGCCGAATTCTAAAGAAAGTCAGAATGGAGCAATTAGTCGAAATGACTAAAATGCTGTGTACAAGCTTACAACAGCAACAAGACTTACAACAACAAATATTGCAACAGCAAAAAATTCTCGAAAAAGTTCTGAAACAGGCGACTGGAGAAAGAAAAAATACTGTTTTTTCTGCCGAAGGAATAACAAATTCATTATCCGAATTTATTTATGATCCTGATTCGGGCATTACATTTCCAGCGTTTCTAAACGTTTGAAACTATATTTACCAAGAGATGTCAACATTGGTCGGATGAGGAACGAGTAACATTACTAGTACAGAAACTAGGGACAAACGAGAATAGGAAGTACTCAAACTTGATACTGCCCAGAAAGCCAGAAGAAGTTTCGTTTGAAGAAACTATAAGTATTCTGTCAAAAATATTTGATTTAAAGGAATAGTCTGTTCCACACGCGATACAGATGCCTAAACATCGTTAAAGCAGATAACAAGGATTTTGTGACATACGCGAACAGTGAACTCTCTGGTTGAACAATTCAAGTTAGAAGAAATAACCAAAGATGTATTCAAGTGCCTAATTTTTCTTCAAGGACTAACTGATCCTAAAGATAAAGAAATTAGGTCGAGAATATTAACAATGGTCGAGCAAGACTCGAAAATAACATTACAAAGGGTGACCGAAGAATGCCAACGTCTCATAAACGTAAAAAGGGACAATATTCAAATTGAGGAGAAAAGTGTTGCTAATGTTCGACACGTAAAAACTCGAAAAACTCCAAACGCCAAAAAGGTAAAAAAATGTGAGACGTGTGGAAAAAATAACCATACCAAAGACACGTGTTGGTACAAAAATAAATTCTGCCAAACGTGTGGAAAAAAAAATCATACCAAAGACACGTGTTGGTACAAAAATAAGTTCTGCCAATCGTGTGGAAAAAAAAAGTCATACCAAAGACGTGTGTTGGTACAAAAATAAATTCTGCCAATCGTGCGGAAATAAAGAGCATAAATATACGGTTTTTCGAAAGAAAAGAAAATTAAAAGATGTAAGTCTGGTATTATCAGAAAAAGTAATTCAGAAAGGAAAAAATAGAAAGTACGTAGATGTACGTATAAATAATCATACAATTACTTTCCTACTGGATTCTGGTTCAGACATAAGCATCATTGACGAACAAACTTGGAAAAA